TATCAGTATGTGTGAAAGATGAAGTGAATTTAAGGCAAATTACCAGTGTTGCAGTGGCATACTCTTGTCTGATGTTTGCGAGAAACAATAAAAACTCTGGTATACAGAGATGCATTACCATGTTAGCTGTAAAAGGAGATGCAAATGATGAGGTAAGAAGTAATGTTATGCAATATAGTTTTTTAAAGGTTACATAAGATACTTTTTCTTCAGAAGGAGACCAAGTAATGATTATTTAATGGTAGGGGCTTATTTTATTGGTGGAGTTTGGTTATTACATCTCAGTAAATTGAACGGTCTTATGATTGCAATTGTACTCTACACCTGGATATGCCCAGGTTTTCATGAATTTATACTTTTATTTGTTTTGCTACCTCAATGCTTATTCTGCTATAATTATTACTGCATAGTGCCTAACCTTTCCCTTTTTCCTATGTCTCAAAATATAAAATCTGTTTTTATATTCTACCAATTATGATAGCAATGAATACAAATAGATTTTATGTTTTCCATTATTGTATACTGTAAATTCAGAGATTTAATTGACATATCCCATGACTAACAAATATATGAGATAATCAGATTAATTATTGGAATTTCAGGAAAAATTTAATAATGATAGATATATGTATTGGATATCAGAATACTACAGTTGTTATTACTGCGATACTCAATACCAAGTTACATAAATCACATTGATAAAAATCTCAATCATTTCTGAATTTATAGTATACTTTTGCTTTTCTTTTAGGTAACAGCATTACTCTGCTTTTACATTAACAAAATACATTATATGAAAGTCTGTATTAAATGGGAAATACACTTGCTGTATGTTGGTTCGAATCCAACTGCAGACAAACCAATGTATCTTAGTCTAGCTAGCTATTAACACTTAAACTGTGAAAGCATTCTTATCAACATTTTGGTATGGGAAATATAACAAATGATATTTAATATAAAAGTAAAAAATGATCTTTTCCTATGTTTCCATTTTGATAAAAAAAAAAACAACAAATAAATGAAAAATTAGCTTCTGTTATATATTTTACAGCGTTTTTGAGTTTCAACAATTACAAAATGGAACAAAAACATTTATTATTGATAAAAATGGCTTCACAGTGCTTATGGCTTCACAGTGCTTATTTCTACTTTTGGTGATGGTGCATTATTAACCTGGCCACAAATACATAAGTTATAACTGATTATGATAGCACTATTTCATACATGTTTTATTTTATATTCTATTTAATAGTTTATCAGAAGATTGAACAGGATGTCATTAAGCCTTTCCTGTTCTGGAAAATTAAGGATTCTTGATAAGGCTGTCATTGCTTCACACAATATGTTGGTTGAGGCAATTCGTACAAACCCTTTAATGAAAATAACCGGTGATAACTTGGATATGTATATCAGAACAAACCACCAAAGGACAGACAATAGCAACCAGGATATACACTGGTTTGCCTCTAATGCATTTTTCACCAGACTTAATTACCAAAATCTTCCAGAGAATACACCAGAAGTTAGTCCAGTTTCTGTTGCTACTTTTGTTAGCATGGTTGGCTTGTTCTTAACTTTTTAATTTCTTTTTCAATTGGTTGAAGATTTGAAGTATTATTTTTTATGGATTTTACATTTGATTTCTTTAATTACATAGACAGTAACTGTTTAGTGTCTTTATCCAGCAATTAATTTAAAAAAAATTGTCCAGCCCAATTGTTAATTAATTTTTTATGAAATCATGGCTTAAACAGGACGGCAATGAGGACCCCAAATTTAACTGTGATGTCAACAGAAATTTGACAAAACATTAGCTCGCAACAAAATCAGGATACCAGGAGACTATAAACATCTAGTATACATTTATCGCTTCGTGTTATCTGTACACCTGTATTAGTATAGTAGAAAGGTCGATTGCAGAATAAAATCATATAAATTTCATATTAAACAACTTTCAAGATGTTTAAATCTTTTATTATCCCATAAGCTAACAATCTATTTGCGAAATTGAAATATAATTATAATTAGACACTGTGAACTTCAATAGTCGAAGGGGACTTTAGGTTTGTCTGTCTGTCTGTCCATCCGTCAGTCTGGCAAATCAGTTTTCCAGACTTTTTTTCTTCATGCTTTAAGATATTGATTTGATATTTGGTGTATTGTTTTATCATGACAAGTTACAGGTCAAGTTCGATTTTCACGATTTTAGCTCCCTTGTTCAGTTAAAGCCCTTTCCCTAGAATTAAATTTTTGATGAAATACTTATTAATTACTAGATTTCTAGCTTTGCAAATGACCCATGTTGACGTCACACCATTTATGATGTAACTCTCACAACATTGCGCGCCAAATTCCACCCATTTCAGTTTCTCTGTCTTTAGTTTAAAAACGTCTTATATTTGTCTACATGCAGGGTTCTATACCCTGTTAAAATTATGTCAAATTCCCAAATTTCAATAAAAGATATTTAAAAAAATGAAAAAAGCGTTGCTTTCACGTTACACTTAGTGGTCGAATTTCTCTAAAAATTGCCAGATTTAAACTGAGACCGGGGATAAATTTGCCTCAAGGTGTACTTGGATACTTCAGGGTGTTAAAATATCCATATCTATGGATATGAACGTAGATAACTTTTATTAACACAACATGTTATTCCAACCATTTCTGTTGAGTTATGTTTTTCAGACTGATGTTTTCTTAAAGGTTACATATTCTAATTACTCTTTGAGATGTTAATTCGTGGTCACTATGTGTTACTTTTATTAAATGGGTTTTCCTATGTAAAAATTTGATGATTAAATTGTAGTAGTTAAGTGCAATAAAAGAGAATTTTTCAAGTTTTCAAGGTTAAAGTATATGTTGTATGTGTAGTCAAGTTGAAAATGTCAATTTCCAGATGGACTTATTTCATTTCTGCTGTTCATGATTTATGGTCCTTGATGGATTGGAAAATTGAATCTATTTTACATTCAATATGTTTTTTCCTGGACAAAGTGGAGGTTAAGACTACCTTATAACATTATGCAAGGTTAATTATACATGTATTATGTTTATTTTTAGGTAAGACTGAAAGACATAGATGCAGAAATGTTTGTTTTGAATGAAAGTGAAACATTGAAGCTGAATGATGTACAGAAGGTTTTGATAGGTCGTCTTCTTTGTGACAGGGATGAATTCCAGTGGCTTAAAAATAAACTACCACAACATATACCACATCGGTACAAAATTAAGTCTAAATATAGGGAAAAAAATGAAATTACACCAGTCCTCAATGGAATGGGTTTAAGTAGTGCCAATTTACAGTCTGTTAAGACAAGTTAACGATTGTAATACTTATATGAATGACTATTGCAAAGTAACATGTAGATTAAAAGGAAATTTTATTATTCTGTGAAAATTATGCTTGTTATAAATTTTAAATGAAATTCATGATCCAAGTTGAAATTTTGCAAAAGAACATTGTGATTACATCTTATATCATGTTTATGTTGAACATATTTCTACATTCCTTGATTTTTTCTGCAAACCAAATGCATTTTATTGCCAAGATAATTATGGTTGCATGTTAAATATAATAGAAAAAAAATAAAGGATATGGGTAGCTGACTATGCAGTATGAGCTTTGCACATTGTTGAAGGCTGACAGTGACCTTTAGCTGTTAATTTCGGTGTCATTTGGTCTATTGTGAAGAGTTGTCTCATTGGCAATCATACCACATCTTCTTTCATATATTGACATAAAACTCCTGTACAACAAAACACAAAATGCAATGGAATAACATATTTATAGCTATTCTTCATTTCAAAGCGACAGTGAGGACTTCAACATGAAGCAAAAACTCTCACCTCAATGCAAGTATAAGATCAGATGGCCCCTAGCACTGGTTTGATTGTAATTCTTTGACTTTTATTAACATATTACATAAAAGAATTACAGAAGTAACAGAAATATCATATGAATATAGAACCTTATCTTCTATAATAATACTTCATTTGGCATTTTCTTAATTTTAAGTTACAGTGACAGCATGTCAAAGAAACAGCAGGTCTTTACGTTGAAAATAATGTTCAAGAATGAATCGAAAAATGAAGACTGTCTGGATATAATGGGTGACTATGAGGATCAAATAATTGATTTGCACACAAAGGCATATGGTAATAAAGGAATTAGTTTACATTGCATACTGTTCATAACATTTTTTTAGGTCTTTCCACCCACCTTTCCGTGGAAAGACCTATTGATTTTGTTCTGATTATTTTGTTTTTTTCTTCCGCCTAATTTTTTTCTTCCGCTGTATTTTTGTTTCAAAAGATGTCGCTTAGTTTTTTTGTATATGATATCATACAGTCTATACGCTTTTGAAACTGACCCTATGTCTGGAAGTTACAAAAATGGTTATTTTTGGTCCCTAATTCCTTAACTGTTGGTACCATAACCCCCAAAATCAATCCCAACCTCCCTTTGGTGGTATTGAACCTTATGGTAAAATTTCATAGAGATCCATTCACTTAAACTAAAGTTAGAGTGCGAAAACCGATGTGTCTTCGGACAAAGACGCCAACGTCATACCAATATATGAACGCAAAATTTTTTTTGCGGTCGTATAAAAAGCGTTGCATTTGTTTATGATAGCCATCAAAATTTGATTGAAATCCAAAATGTGTTAATGTTTGTAATATTCCTATTACAGGAAATACGGATGTATTAGATAAATATGGAGTGGTTTTAGGAGGAGATATGCTGACCAGGGAGAGACTGCAAAATGCTAAAAACATTACATATTTAGCACCAACACCGAAGGGTCGATTTGAACATTTGTCCCCGGTCACTTGTGAACTTTGGCATGTGAAGCAAGATCTTCTATCTGTATGTTTTATTGTATTCATACTTAGTCCCTTTCGTAATTTAAGTTATCAACAAGCATTCTGAGTCCAAGGACCATAATTCTGCACAGAATCTTTAGACCGGAACAAAATTCTAACTTTATCTGTATCTTGTCATGATAAAACAATATACCAAATATCAAATCAACATATTCAAGAACGAAGAAAAAGTGTGGAAAACTGATTTGACCGAATGCAAACCTAAAGTCCCCTTCAACTTTGTGCTTATTTTGTTCCTTAAGTAATGCTCTCTCATAGCATTAATTCTATATTCTTGATTTTTTTAATTTCACCTAAGTGCATTCTTAATGTTTGATTTATAGGCTTAAAAAACAAGTTCCGATATTTAAAAGTAAAATTGAAGTTATTTTAACACTGTCTTTATGTCAATTTTTTTAGAAAGCATATAAAGCCTTATTTAAAAGCGATTCATTGGGAGAGTGTGGAACTTTGTTTCACATGAAGACAGCATTAAGGAGGAATGATGTTAATGGAAATGTAAAATCAAACTACAAAGCCCATGAAGAACTACTTCTGCTAATTGTTAAAGCATTAATTCACATAGCTTCAGATGAAATCAAGGACTGCAGAGAACAAAACAGAGACATTGTGCTTAGTAGTGTTTTTTCAAAGATTTATGGTTTGTACAATTGAGAGTTTTTATAATTAAAATTACCTTTTGTTTAATACATACATATTAAGAAGCAAGAATCGTGAGCTTTACATCTATATGCATGTCATATCTCAGAAAACTGAAGCACATCAAATTAACATTGAATATTGCTATAAAGTTGTGGATCAAATATTGTAAAATACCGTGCCAACAATATTATTTGTTGGATACCAATTTTCATATAATTATTTCATTGGTACGGTGGCAAACATTACTTTAAATTCATGTTCATTGAATTTTAAATTTTCAAATTGATGCATGCTGACTTTGACACAACCATCATGAAATCAAATATTTGAGAAAATGCAAGTATTCCACATTCCATGAAAATTGGTACCCTAGAAAAAATCAAGGAGTCCACACTATTTAAAATTACATATTTCTACAGCTAAAATAAAATATTGGATGCATTTCAAAAAAAAAGAGGGACGAAAGATACCAGAGGGACAGTCAAACTCATAGATCGAAAACAAACTGACAACGTCATGGCCAAAAATAAAAAGACAAACAGACAAATAATAGTACAGTCAATGTACACTTAATGACCAAGCTAAATAATTAAATTAAAGGAATGAAAAGGCAGATATACATATCTGGATACATATACCGGTACATAAATCAGCTTAACATTTAAACTTATCGGACTTCCTTAACTGTCTATATCACACTGTTCAGCTCTGAATAAAATTGCATACCACAGCTTTGTGACATCAAATACGTTGACCCGGTATTTAAATAACTTTGACCCGAACATATCAGCGTGGTCATAATGTATGAACCGACGTTGATAAGTTTTTTAAAAAAAAAATTTCGGTAGTCAGGCTTTTACAATCCTTGTACATCACCGACGTTGATAAGTTTGTTCCGAACTTATCAAGTCATCTTCAGGTTTGCTGGTGAAACCAAGAAAACACTTGTTTCTCTCATGCAAAATATGCAAATACAAACTGATAAATCGATTATCTGGTTGTCTGCATATTTATATGGTAAAATATCAGCTGCTCAACTCAATATGAATCCTTTTTGAACTTGTTTGCTTCGCTCACTCAACAAAAAGCTTCATATTATGGCTCGCAGCTGATATTTTACAATATCAATATGCAGGCAACCTGATCATTGGTACAGATGAAGAAGATGAAGATGAATCGTTACACATGATAAAATTGTTTGTGTTTGTAAATTAAAATAAACAGTTATTTTTTAGGTCTAGGATACAGTACAGACGATTATGTTTGCAACTATTTCACAAATTTATTAACCTGGGGGATGCAAATTGTGAATATGAATGACACAGCAAAGGAGGGGGACATGGAGAGACTCATAATGAATATGAAGGAAAATGCTGCCTTTTTTTACAGCCACTCAGCAATGAGTAAATATTTTTCTGAGTGCATAAATACCATCTTACAAGTAGATCATCTTTCATCCCCTCATATGAAAATGAGACAGCTAGAAGGGGCATTCATCAATACTAAAGGGGGAAATGGTAAGAACAAGGAAGCAGACCTTGTGCAGGAGCATGCCATTAGAAACCAGAAAGACTTAATAAGAGGTCTAGGTAAGAAAAATAGATTTAGCCTGCAATCAGCCTGTTACCCTGCTTCCATTTTGGGCAAGTGGTAATGTGAATATTTCTTTTCATGATACAGTTCATTTTGGGGTCCACTTCACGGAATACATTGAAACTATGTCGATTTCTTTGCAAAATTAGAGACAATGATTTGGATTTTAACAACTAAATTTTCAAGCGTTGGGTGTTAATTGCAGGATAAAAACAATATATATACATTGTCGGAAAATATAAAATTTATTTGTACTCACTACAAAACAGGAGAAAATCTCGGCGAAACTTGCTTTTCGTCCTGTTTCTCAAGCTCATACAAATAAACTTTATATTTTCAGACAAATTGAGACAATGTACATATATTGTATACTTATTATGTTGTTATTGAAAACAAAGAATGTAACAACAACATATAAAACAAAAAATGTAACATCAACATAATAAATTGCTTTGCCGAGCACAGCTGGATACGACCGCAGAGGTACAACCCTAAACAGTTGGGGCGAAAATGGACACAATATTCGTGCTTGATACAGGTCTGAATTTTGATTGAAATTAAATGTTTGACACATAATAGGTTTCTGACACAGAATAACTGTAGTCAAAGAACTTAAAATTGGTTATATGATTTGAATTTATATTCAATTTTTTGCTTTTGTGCAATACTCTGTGCTGTTGCAAATTGACCCCCCCCCCAAAAAAAAAAAAATAATATCCACACCCTTTTTTTTTTTTGGCAAAATTTTTTTTTCACCCCACCCTTTTTTTTTACAATAAATAAAAAATAATATTTGAAGAAATGTTCTTTTTAATTTCTGAAATAATCTGTAATGAGAAAAAAAATTGCCCCCCCCCCCCATTTTTTTTCACCTCCCCCCCCCCCCATTCCCCTTTTTCCAAGAAAAAAATGTTTCCCTCAAGATATGGTCATTATCTCAATTGAAATTTCCATTGAAGTTTGCAACCATAATTACCCATTTAAATACATCCTAAAAGTCTTAAAATAGAAAATGACATACATAATCATGTCTAAAAATAATATCTTTAATCAGCATTTTTATTAGTAACTTCTAAAAATAAATTGACAGCTAGTCTCGTCAAGACAATACAAAATTTCTTTATCCATAATTTTAAAGCAGTGTAAGGGAGGTAATTCAAAATTAACATTGTAATTAACAGTGATAGTCAATAACAAGGAAACCCTTTTTTTCCCCCTTTTTTGCCCCTAATCAATATACGGTTTAAGACATTACACCCCCCCCCTTAAAGCCAATTCTAACCATCCCTTTGTGGTATGGAAACTTGTTGTACAATTTCAGAGAGATCCATACACCAATCCACAAGTTATTGCCTGAATACTAAAAAAATGCTTTATTGGGCCCCTTTTTTGGCCCCTAATTCCTAAACAGTTAGGATCATAACCCCCAAAATCAACCCCAACCTTCCTTTTGTAGTTATAAACCATGTGTTTAAATTTCATAGATTTCTATTAACTAATACTAATATTGTCTGGAAACCATGTGTCTTCGGACGACGAACTGACAATGTTTTACAGAATTTATCGGGTCAATAAAATTCATATCGGGTGAGGGGAACCAGATATGAGTTTTATTGACCTGATAAATTCTCCTATGAGGACAATTGCACACTGTGTAACTAATATTGCTTATGATCAATTAAATCTATTAAAAAAAGATAAAGAGATTACTTTCTAAACAGTAAGATATTCGAAGCAATACATGCAGACAAAACCTTGGACAGTTTCATAGCATACAGATGTCCATCAGTCACATCTGTTGTTGATCCTATAGTTGACTCTAATTTTTATTAATATAGGAGCAAACAAAACTGAGAATGGTTCAAGGAGAGCAAGCAGTTCAGCAGATATTATTCATAGAATTGGAGACAACATAGATCATTTGTTAAATATACCTAAACTTACCACAAGCCACGCAAAAAAGACTTCATCAAAAGATCTTGAAATTGCAATTAACATTTTAAAGAAAGTTCAACCTTTTAATTATGTTAAGGGAAGGCAATTTGAAAGTTTTAAAACCATAGCAAAGAATCCCAAATTAGTTGTTCCAAAGAAAGATCTTGTACACGCCATCCAGAAAAAAATTCAAAGGTTGTTTTTAAATTCTTAATTTTTTATAGTCTGTAATTAATGGTTTTATTGAATATCCACTGCCTGTATCTACTGTACTTTGTGTCACTATTAAAAAATTAAATGGGAATACCTTACTTACTGAATGTTAATAAAATATAAATTATAACCATATTTTTTTTAATACATGTACATGTGTATGTAACTAAATTTTCTCCATTAATACTGCAAATGTTATGAAGGTAACAGCAGTTTATAGTTTAAGTATTTACGCTTTATCTATTTCTATATTTAGTAATAAAATTATTTAAGCTACATTTATTTCTATATTTTAAAATAGTGTAAGAATTAAATTTTTACAAATAAATTTAGAAATCTGGCATTTCGTAATGGGAGATAAGTTAGTTCCCAATGTTTTATATCAATGGGAATTGATATTGTAGATAAAGTTAAGTTTAACTTCTTCATTAAAATATCAGGAAATAATGACTTTTACATTCTGTGTTATTTAAATATTCTTTGTTAATTAATGAAATTATAGTGAGCTATGTTAATAATTTATTACACCCAAAATGTAAGTCTTTATCAATCTAATGCTGGCATTAAATACATTTTCCTTGTATGACTAATATCTGTATCTTTCCCTAATTAATTTTTTTCTACTTAATTGTTTTAATGTGTCTCTCCATGTCCCTTCATTGTGTAATTTTAATCTATAAGACCTTTCCTTATTGTTTTGTACCAGTCTCTCCATGTCCCTTCCTCAAGTTAATATTTTTCTAAAAATCTCATCGCATTATTTTGTACGAGTTCCTCAATGTCCCTTCATTGAGCATTTTTTTTCTAAAATACATTACTCAATTGTCTTGTAAAGTCTACATTATCATGATAATATGTAAATATTTAATTAAAGAAACATGAGTAGGGTTCAAATTTCCAAAGAAAAATTATCATTCCCATCTCTATAATCAATATAAAATAATACATATTATCACCTTATATTTCTTAACAAATGGTATGCTAACTAGTGATATACAATAAAACTTTGAATGTATAATATACACTGTAATATATTTTTATAAAATATTAAAAATATATAATATTGTTATTTCCTTGTACATCTACCTTCAGTTTATTTTTTCACTGCTATTATCAGTTTGTATTTGTTGTACATGATTCATTGATTGTAATAACAACTAAAATTTTACTTTACATGTACAAAATGAAATATTTTAGTTCGTTATATTTTCCTCACCAGAAAATGAATGCATCTCATTTTCTCATTAATTTTCAACAATGCATTTCAGATAATAAATCAACAAGGCAACATATTATGAAACTAAATATAAACTGAAGAGTGTGCTTTCAAGAATGTATAATTTGAAATAATTCATATGCTAGTCTGCTATATTTTTATCTGTCCATTTAATATTATCATATTATATACACAATTGAGAATAGCACCAAATGTAATACAACTGAAAGAAAATTTCAAAAAAGTTGAATTGATAGAAGGAATGTAGTTTTAGAAAGCAAAGAACTGTAATGGATATAGGCACCATAAATAAAATTTGAATTTTTAAACATTGACTAAGGTTGAATTGCATTTAGACTAAAAAAAATATAGCTTTTTTTATAATGTGAATGTTTTAATTTAAAGCATTTACATATCATATCATATCAAAACAAAAATTGGAATGAAAAAAATACACTTCTAATAATTGTGGACAACATTAACCAAACATATTGTAATTATTATTATGACTGGGTTTAGATGAGAATTTGTTATAGTTTGGAAGTAACCATTTTGTAAAGGTTATTACATAATTCTTTCAGTGAAAGAGAAATTTACATTGACTGTGATATTTTTTTCATTATAAGTGTTCGATTTTGAAATAACTGTGATATAAACTGTGATATTGACTTGTATTGTATATTGAATGAAAAAAAAAAACATTCAAGAATATTTATAGTTATCATCAAGTCTGTTTGCCTCTTTGTTTGTAAGTACTTGTAATATATTAATTGAAATTTGTTGATTTAAAAAATGTGTAGTTCTGACTTAAAAATGAATTTGAGTGATGTCTTCTGTAAATGGATTATAAGAAGTTAAAATGAATGTATATTTTGTTATTCCAAGTTGAAGCAAATTGTAAAAAATATGTATGGTTTTTTTTTAAATGGAGAGTTTGGAGAAACATCTGTTTTTGCTTATGATTTTTGAAATTGATTTATGCTATTATGTATTGTTCATCACCATTTTAAAAAACATTGGCCAAAAAGCATGAAATTCATTTTTTTAGGGCAGGTGATCTCTTATGAGAACCTTTTTTAGGGTAACAAAAGGATTTAAAGATTACCATTACATAAAACAATAGAGTAATATTAATGTATTGATATGAAAACAAAAATCTGATCATTGGAATTTTATTTCACTACAACTAGTATACTTGAATCAGTAAATTGATCATTTGTAAGCATTTAAACCTGTCCACTGAATGGTTACAACAACAAAAAAACCCAAAAATGAACTTTTGTCTGTATTTATGGGATTTTTAAAAAAGTTAATGAAATATTGTATCAATTGTATAGCCTTTAAATGTAAGTTATTTTTATACATTGCCTCCTAATATTAAGTTTAAATGTTGAATTTCAATGCTTTGTAGACTAAGAATGTTAAGTTTTCAGAATAGTTTATTGTGTATCACTCTAAACTTGAATAAAATTTATATACGCAAAAAGTGTTTTATAATAATAATTATTCTATTTAAAAATTTTGAAATTGGGAGTTGGATGGGGGTGAGTTTGGTAGGGTTATTGCCTATTTACAATTCTATTCTCAGCATCTCACATTCAATACATGAACATAGTCGTTTACAGTTGTAACAGCAAATATGACCCTTTACAGCTGATTTTTCAAAGCCATACTGCTGCAGAAGGTGTTCTCTAATACAACCCTTTTCCCTACAGAAACCAATAATATCAGGCTTTATATCCACTACATTGGCAGCAATATCCCTATTGCTGTAATATAGGACAGCTTTGGCTGCAATTCCTGAACGACCAGCACGCCCAATCTCTTGCACATAATCAGACAGTGACCTTGGTGGCCGTGCATGGATGACTCTTGTGATTGATGGAGAATTAAACCCCATACCAACAACTGATGTGCAAAACACAAGTTTTATTCTTGGGTTTTCACATGACAACTCTTTAATAACATAATTTTTGACACTTTCGTCTTGACCACTGCATAAGATACCATAAACACATGATTCAAGTGTAGGTTTCTTGAAAATGTACTTACAGTAGGCAGCTGCATTACCTATGTATTGTAATGGCATGAATAATAAGGTTACTGGGAAGTTTTCCCCATTTTCTAATAAATTGTCACAAATTGGCTTATAGATGTTTTCATAGGCCTCATAAATATCAAGGGATGCCTCTTTAAGTCTGATATCTAAATAAATGTTTTCCCTATCGGGACTTTCCCGAATTACTTTCGGATGTTTCATTCCTATGGAAGTGGTAACTGTCTTCTCTTCCTGTTTTGTAACAGTTGCACTGAGTCCCAATCTTGGTACTCCCGGAAAAAATCCTGGAAGCTCCTTCAAGTGATGAAATGCTTTTCTGAATGATTTCCCCCTATTCAGTAAATAAACATAAGTAATGGTAATACATTTTGATAATAACTGTTCCATAATTAAAGTTAAATTCACCATCACCAAATAAAGGGGAGATAAGCAATGTGAAATTATTTTTTCCCATTAAAACTCTGATTTCATAAAATATAATCTTGTAATTTGTGTTCTCCATTTGTAATATTTATAGTTATCAACATGATATCAATTTAAAAGAAAATCACTGAATCTAAATATCAAAAAATGCATATAATTTATTATATTTTAAAAACAATACTGGTTAAAGACATCAGGAAAAAATGCTTTCACAGTTTAATGTTAATAGCTGGAATAATATACATTGGTTGTCCGCAGTTGGAATTGAACCAACATACAGCAAGTGTATTACCCAATAGATACAGACTTCTATATAATGTATGTTGTTAGTAAGGTGGAAATAAAATGGCAATAAAATTTTCAGATTAAAGCAACACAAAAGCATTAATTATTAAATGTTAACATGATAAGCTTATACTAGCTGCATTATAGAAGTTAATATCGGATGAAAACAGGAAGTTAAACCATAAACTAAAATGCAGACATGCATTGAGAATAAACTAATAAAAAAAATGGACATTTGGGATCAATATAAGACAGAACATATGGTAACAAGGAATATATTACTCATTGCTTTGTTCAAGAAATATCTTGCTACATGTATTAATCAATTAAATCAAAATTAATCATGTTATGTACTTTGTTTAACCTATTTTTAATTTACTTTTATATTATGTTTGAAATTATATTGTAATTATTCTGCTCATTTTGGGCGCCGTGATTGGCAAATAAAATAAAATATTTGTTTGTTTGTATTGTTAGATAATTTCCACCTCTAAGGAGTGTTGCTGTAAATAATGAATAGACAAATAGCTATACATTAAGTCTTGTATGAATAATCAAATATGAATATATAATGGAAATGTGTTACCCTTTGTGATATGGAACCTTGTGGTACAATGTCAGAGAGATCCATACACTAACACACAAGTTATGTCTGGAAGTTACAAAAATGCTTATTTTTGGCCCCTAATTCCTTAACTGTTGGTACCATAACCCCCAAAATCAATCCCCACCTTCCTTTTGGTATTGAACCTTATGGTAAAATTTCATAGAGATCCATTCACTTAAACTAAAGTTAGAGTGCGAAAACCAATGTGTCTTCGGACGACGAAGATGCCAGCGTCATACCAATATATGATTTGCGATCGTATAAAAATCCAACATTTTCAGTTAAAACAGGAACTACCTGGCTATGGATACAATTATTCCAGCAGAAGTGTAATCAACCCAATACTAGAATATCTTAATAACACTTCATACTAACCTTTCTTTCTGTTTCATACTTACATTATCTGTTTAACACATTTCAAACAGTATCAGTAAAATCTGATGAAAATCAAATCAACTCCAAAAAACATCATGTCAAGATGTAAACTTCAAATTAATGGTTAAATGTAAAACAAAACAACAAAATATTATTGAGATTATATAAGACAAATTGATTTTTTAAATTGGAAAAAATCAAAATGCACAATCTTCAGATGAAGTTACAAATTTGATAAGAAAGGTGAAAAGCCAGACTTTACTTTCAAAGAAATGGACAATGCTTGATAAAATATATAACTATATTCATTATTGACAGGGTAATGCACAACCATGACAAAAGCTTAAAGAATGACTTTAAAAATTGTTTTCTAAAAAGTAATAGATGTCCATAAAATTCATTTGAAAAGTATGGATAGGTACCAGTATTTATTCATATCTTCAATACATTTTGCTATTGTCAAACAAAAAAAATCTTGTGAAACTGAATCTTAAATGAAAACACAAAGAAAGTTATAACGTACCAATCTGCAACTTTATGACATTCGTCAATAACAATTGCCTTTACTGAAGATTTGAAACTACAAGAAATAAGTAAGAAAAACATGGAATTCTACTATTTACTGTTATTGGCCATTGTAATGTATTAATGCACACATACATTGTAATGTTGTACTAAATTCATTAAAATTTAAATTCTCAACAATAACCGAATTTATCATTATCTGTTTATTGATGACTAGGTCATTAGCACATTTATCATGACTGAAAAAGTAATGAGGCTATTACTTAAATTCAAAAAAATCAACACTAAAATCAATGCCATGAAAAAAGATTGTTGGTTAATCCTAATCTTATTTACCTGGTCTGGTTTTTACCCAGCTGGGCAATTCATTTTAAACTGAGAAAAAATAAATGGAGAATGTGTCTCCATGGACACAGATGATGCCCCCACTTACATACAACATTATAAAGAGACATAACTCAAGAAAGATGAAAGTGACACTACCAAATTTTGTACTTGATCTGAGTTTTGTGGTAATAAGTATTGTGTATAGGTTTCATAATGTTTGGTTGGGGCAAACTTAATAAGTTACAGAATGGAAACTAAAAATTTTGCAACTTTTATTTTAAAAAGGGGCATAATTCGATGATGGTTAAAGTGACGCCACCAAAATTCGACTTGATCAGTGTTTTGTGGTACATGTAATAAGCATTTGGTTGAGGCAACTTAAGTTAGAGAACGGAAACTAAAAATTTAGCATTTTTTTTCCATTTATAAAGGGCACAACTCGCAAATGGTTGAAGTGACGCCACCAAAATTCAAACTTGATCTGTGTTTTGTGGTTATAAGCATTGTGTATAAGTTTCATAACATTTGGTTGAGGCAAACTTAAGTTAGAGAAAGGAAACTAAAAATTTTGCAATTTTGCCATTTATAAAGGGGCTTAACTGTAGAACTGATAAAGTGACGCCACCACAATTCAAACTTGATCTGTGTTTAGTGGTAATAATCATTGTGTACAAGTTTCATAACATTTGGCTAAGGCAAACTCAAGTTAGAGAATGGAAACCAATTTTGGGAGGTACGTACAGCAGACAAGGGTAAAACTTAATGCCCCCTCCGCTAAGGCCGGGGCATAAAAAAGGAATACTATCTTTCAAAAAGATTACCAATGACACTTTAATTGTCTGATAATTTTTACAATGATGTTTCATTTATCATTCTGAAAATTTTAAATAGCTTATTTCACAATATAGTGTTTATGTAATGTGAAGCAAGTTTTTTGTCAAGAATTTTCTGTCAGTGGTTTTAAGAAAACAAAATCTGAAAAACTAAACTCTGTTGGGACTGTTTGTTTTTAACCAGACTGTGTTGAAGTAAACCAACATTCCATTTTTTCAATTGCATTATTGCTTTAAAGACCCATTAAACAGGACAAAAAAGTGATATGTCAATAATTTATATTTTTTATTTTTGGATTTATTTTTCTATATATAATAAATACATGTATATAAATAGTTTTATACCTAGAGGAATCCAAAAGATCATTTCCTTCTGATGTGCAGAAGAAGGCTTCTGGATGGGCAAATATTAAATTACAATTAGATATATCTGAAGTATCTATATCACACTTAAGATCTTTGATATCTTCCTCATTCCCTGCAGTCAACAGTCTTCCCTGTGGCATAAAAGATCTACAATTAACTATGCAAAACTACCAGCCAATAATTATAAGATACTGAAACAGAAGAATATAGCCAACAATCAAGTGTCATAATTGGTTCAAGCCAAATGAATATATTTTATCAAATTTATGTATCATTCAATGAATCAGAAACTACTCTTAACCTTATTGACGAAACCAAATACTTTTGAACATACTTGTAAGGCTTATAAAAGCGAGGTCAATGTTAAATGTTTCCTAACAGATAAACCTTGTACACATTATATACCAAAATATATATATAAATATATGAGTTTAAATCCTGGCCAGGGAAGAACAAAACATTGTTGGGCTGATATTTAGACAAATTATATATATATATATATATATAAATATATAGTTGACAACTTGACATACACAAGTATAAATTACAGTATCTGAGTAACAGACTTAGCAAAACAAACTTCAAATTAACTGGTGTACCATGAACAGGAGGTTTAAGTTTAGTTGAACCCTACCAGACAGACATGAGTATCTTCAAATATATGAATAGCAGTTATCTTTTCTTAGGCATGTTAGTAAAACTGTTTCGTCCCTGCCAAGGGTACTCATCAGGTGGCTTTAGGCTACCACTACAGTTATTTGTTACATGTAATTAATTATATTAAAATGGAAAATCAGAAAAAGGGATTAGTCAGTGATCATCTCTTTGCACTCATAATTCTTTATTATTTATACTAGACGTGCTGTAAGTGACATTAAAGTCACTAATAAATGCAATCTTATCATTTTTGTTACTTGATCCAGCAAATTTTGGTCTTGTATATAGATATAAGAAGACTTGGTATGAGTACCAAAGAGACAACTGTCTCATCGAAGTCACAATTTGTAAAATTAAACCATTATATGTTAAAGTATGGTCTTCCACACTGAGCCTTGGCTCACACAGAACATTAATTAAATTAAAGAACAGAATTAAAAAAATAAATTGTGACCCCCCCCAATTTTTTTCTTTGGAAAATTTACAATTTCTTAAATCAGAGGGGAAAAAAATTGAACCCGCCAAAATATTTTTTTTACCCCCCCCCCCCCCCTCCAAATTTGATTTTTTTTTCTTCTTGTAAAATGTGGTACAAATTAAGAGACATCCATACACTTAAACACAAGTTATTGTCTGAAAACTAGAAAAATGCTTGTTTTAGACCTTTTTTGGCCCCTAATTCCTGAACGGTTTAGGCAATTACCCCCAAAATGAATCCCAACCTTCTACTTGTGGTATAATCGTATTGAACCTTTTGGTACAGTTTCAGAGCAATCAAAATACTATAAATACACAAGTTATTGTCCTGAATCTAGAAAAATGCTTGTTTTGGCCCCTATTTCCTAAACGGTGGGGACCATAACCCCCAAAATCAATCCCAACCTTCCTTTTGTGGTTATAAAATATGACCGCAAATTTTTTGCAATCATATAAAAAATGTAATTTGATGGAACCATGAGGCATGACACAGGCACTTGTCTCAGAATTTTTTTTCCTGTATACCTTTGTTATATAAAGGTATATAGGAAATTTTGTTCTGGGACGAGTGCCTGTGAACCATGATTTGTTATGAATAAACCTTAAATCAGTTAAAACAAAATTCTTAACCCCCATGCCACCCACCTACCCAGTCCAAATAATTATGACCATTAGCCCCTTTCGTGTTCGCACCCGTTTTCCGAATTATTTTGTGTTGAATAAGTTTTTAATCGTGCTTTAGTCAATAAATTGTGCTATACATCATATATACAGTGAATTTAAAAACATATTGGCGTTGATCTAGTTCATCTTAAGCAGGTAAGTTCTTTGGCGTATACGATACCCAATCAACTGATAAAAGAATATAAGAATAAAACTAGATTTTACCCTAGTATTCAAGATACAACTTTTCAGTGCCGAGGCCTTCAATTCTTTAACTTGCTCTTCTTGAATGACACTGAGTGGTGAGAAAACAATCACAGTGCCGTCCAAGATTAGCGGGGCCATTTGGTATAAAAGGCTCTTCCCATAGCCAGTTGGCAAAATAGCTAATGTCTCAAGCGTTCCTTTCACGATTTCGTCCAGCACTTCAATCTGTTTAGGTTTGAGAATGATGTCAGGATGCCCGAGACGTCTGAGAGTTATTTCATAATCCGCCATTTTCACACAGTGCCTTTTCACCTCATTCGAGTCCTTCCGCTTGGCCGCCATGAGGAAATTTCCTCATGGAGTCAACCAATCGTATGGCAGAGGTCATATTAAGTGTAGTATTGCGGAGCATGTACGGAACGGATATGAACTCTGCGCCGGAGATTGCTAAAAACAGTCTTGTTCTATCTGTAATAGAGAATTATCACATAAATGATCATTTGTAGAAGTTGATGATGATCAATGTTAAGTTATAGAAAGAGCAAAGAATTGTTTATTTATATTTTCATTGCAGAACTGAATGTGAATGGAAAATTTGAAGTAGTCTTTGAAGATGAAGAAAACATTGCCATAGAAACAGATATAAAGGTACACTTGTCCTGTTAAGAAAACTGTATTCAATATTGGTAAATGTACATGAACATAAAACTATGTAAGATGTAACATAAATGTAGTGAATATTGAAAGAGAAAATAAATTTGTGCCTTTAGTTTCTCAATGCTGTACAGTTTTTAACAATTAGACAAACCGTCCTACAATTCAGGAATGGGAATTTGTTACATGGTACTATTGTCTGCTGAAGATTCATGATAATCATTAGGTACTTACATTAGTTAATGTGTGACTATGATGACTGCTAACAATGAATTTAGGTCCTTAACAAAATTCTTGTCTTTAATATCTTTGATATAGGAATAAGAAATTATAAAATCCAAATATTAAGTATCTTTTAAATGGCAACTATCCACCCAAAAGTGTATTCATGAAATCCGATTATTTTACACTTGAAAAAATAACTTTACACAATCCTAACAATATTAAAGTGGTATATAGAGTTTTATATAATGATCTATGTTTTTATGAAAACAGTTTTGAACTATTAGATTTCTCAAATGAGAATGCTTTTTTAATAAATCAACATTCTATTTGCATTCAGAATGGTTTTACCTTACACATTTCTTATTTTCTGAAATAAACGTTTAGGAATTTTTGTTTTCTTTTTCAGGTTTGCCTTCCACTAGAATCATTGATAGAGCCAAAACTTTTATCCTAACAATAGATGAATTGTCGAAAAAACTGGGAAGATTTCATAAGCATTGAAACAATGCATCTTCAATATGTTTTAAAGGGATGTGTTCAACTTTCATGTACTGTAGATGTGAAGGAATAATTTTTTTTTACAAAAAGTCAATAAAATAGTTAAAAGAAGTATAGTAATAGTTTTGTGCAATAATGCTCCAGAGGAGCCTGGCACAGTAAAGAAAGAAGAAGAAGTTATTACAATTCATTTAACAAAATGGAGGAATATACACTACAGGCTATGCATCACTTGGTGCCTTTTATGTCATTTCTAAAAAAAAAATGAACTTAACATTACATTGGACAGTTTTAAAGGGTACTTCCCAACAATTGTAAACCAAGAGTGCACACATTGAAACATCCCGCCTGCTTTTCTGATTATGATTGAATTTATGTTATAAATATTTATGATAAAAGTTAAGCCATAAGTACCACATAAACTAATATTATCAATGACCATGATCAGACGAACCCTACCAGTGGGACGTATATAACATACAATCATTCAATACACCAAATAAAGTTAACTTATTGCTATTAGTATCTGAGAAACAGATCTACATAATCATTGTAAGCACACAAACCTTTCTTTAACCAATGAACTATAAAAACAAGATAAAGGTCAAATAAATCTTGACAGTAAGACATGTACACCATACAATCATTTCATACACCAAATATAATTGACCTATACTGCTTATAATATCTGTATAATATCTGAGAAGCAGATATAATTATGAAAACTTATCTTTAACCAATGAAACATGCAAATGAGGTCAAGGTCAGATCAATGAAAAAATAACATCAATAATAATGATAATTATATATTCTTTATTTCAAGAGGGTATTTAAAACATGGTTAAAACAAATGATCGTCCCTGAGGCCCTCATATACAATACAGACAAAAACAGATATTACTTATTAATAAACAATCATAAAGTTCAATGTATCATTAGTAAAAATATACAAAAATATCATGTGCATATCAAAATAAAACATTCTAAAAAGATTGCTTGCAGATCCTTCTAGAAAAAAGACTATTTGGGGATGATTAAATAACTTTTTTTTGATAATAGTCATTTAAGGACTTTTCATATTCAGAAGTGTAACTCTCTAAAATATGGTGTCTGTTTTGGCTGTGCAGTATGTATAAATTAGACCAAAATTGCTCTTACATCGGACAGCCATTTTTGATAGATATTGATTGGGATGTATAAAAAAAACAGCCACATAGGAATAGGGATATTAAGTATGATGCCCTGTGAAGGGAAGAGTGCCACACTCTTTGCATGTTAAAATAACCCTTGCAACAACTTTGACAGGTCTTTAGGTGACCTAACCTGTTACTCCTATTAAAATACCCATATTTTCCAATGACATACAAAATGCATGCCCTTCATCCTGGGTTACACACTTCAGTAAAGATATTTATTGGATGTGTTAATTAGTTCTTGTGAATATACATGAAAAAATTTGCCCATGACATTAGGATAACAATCAATCTTTGTAGAATTCTTCTAGGAATTTCAATAAAAGTTTATTATGTTCCCTATAAATATATGTACAAGGTACTTTAACTTGGTTTTTAGGGGAAATTTCTTAATTTTAGTTGCCTACCAAGGTTAACAAAAGCATGCATCTTTTATCTTTTGTATTCTATATCAAACAATGTAAAAGTGTGTTAATTAATACAACCTGTTCATTCTTTTACATTTAAAATTAAATTTCAAAAGAAAGGAAAACATTAAATGATCATATTAAAAGAAATAGTTAAAACTAATGCCTCTAACAAAAACATGTACTACAGTCAAACCTATACATAAGAGTCGCCCTCAAGACCAGAGAATACTGGCCTTAGAAGACATGTGACATTTTAAATGAGGTTCAAAATGCATATGCAATACTACAGCAGGATAAAAAGAGCCTGACAAGACAGGTTTTTGCTTAAGAGAGGTGATCTTTATAGCAGGTTTGATTGTTTAAATTTAATAATTAAATTAATCTCAGGTTAGGTCCCTTTAATCATTCATAAAATACTGATAATATTCTATTGAATCAAATTTTGAATGTTTTTAACATTTGTCCTCGGTCAAGATAATTCTCTGAGAATTGTTATACAATGTGTCACTGAAACATTCTAGAGCATAATTGTTACATTTCAATTCCCTTGTCCAACTAGCTTTTCTGTCGTTGACTGTCTTATGCTTTTTAAGAATGGAAGTAAACCTGAAAAATATATCATTAGAATATAGATGATTGTCTATCAGAAATCACAGATATCAAACACCAGGATTATATGTATAAAAAGATGACTGTCATCCAAAATAAAACTGTATGAAGGATAATTTAAAAAAAAACTTAACCACAGACTGAACCTAAATGATGATGCTGCATATGACTCAGCTGTCAACAGAATGAAGGATTTTCTATGTCTAGCTTTTGCAACATAACATGTTGCAGGCTCGACAAAAATACAACCTTGGATTTTTTTTAGACATCTATAACTTTGTCAAACCTTCATGAAATTTTATGAAATCTGGACAGAAGCTTTTTAATGGTATATACATTTTCATCACTAGTAGTTTTTTTCTCACAGCCAAATTAATCAATGAATGATTGGTTTTTCAAGATGAAAAGATATAAAGTTCCCATTGAATTTCCTCCACAGAGAACAATAGCTATTGTATTTATTCAATGGGACAATTCACTTTGCAAAAATTTAAATACCCAAATGAACAGGTATTATTCTGATTTCCTATACAATAAAAGAGTTCAGTATTCACAACAGTTTAAAACACGCACACACACACACAAATCCACCAGCAATGTGTATCTGTCTGTCTGAAGACCATGATAATATTGGGTCGTATCTTCATTTATTTTTGTTGACTAAGGAGATTTTCTTGTGAAGATTATTCATGTTGTTGGGTAGCTGTCTCATTGACATTTACATTAAATTTTCTTTTCGTACATTGTCCTTTGTACTACGAAATGAATACAAAGGTTGTAAGATCGCATATTTATTGAATACTCTTGTTGCCAGTTTCAGATTTTAATTTTTTAACGGATGCCAAATAAATCTTCATGAACAACTGTACTCAAAAGAATTCATCCGAAGCAAATTTTTATCAGCTTTAAGTTGAGCTACAAAAATAACCATATGTAATACTTACTGGTACCACCTGTTCCCTTTTTAGATAAAGACTCAAATTCCTGGTTCCTGGTCTGTCTGTTAGACATTATAACAACATACCTGAAAGATGCAACAGTAGTATAGCATTTTTTTTTTTGGGGGGGGGGGGGGGGGGGGGGGGTGAAAAATGTAAAATTAGTCATCAAACAACAGTAATGAAGAATTTCAGTATCTAAGGTTTTTATTTGACTTTTAAAATTTGTCGTCACCACCTTTCTACATGCACCAGTTGCCTTCCTTCTTTATCTCTTAATTTTGCAGATAAGATAGTAATACATTTATTAAAGCTAATTTAAAGTGCATAACATAGCAACAATAGCTTAAGGAAAGAACTACATACTTTGTCACTACTTGCAAATGATAGCTTCTGAAATCAATCATTGCCTCCAGAACTTGATTGAAACACTGTTTGAGGCTTTCGTCATCTGATTTCAAAACTGAAAATGAAGACAACTTTTCCTTTGTTTTTTGTTTTGACATTTTTGTAAAGTAATATTTTGCATTTATTTTTTACGAGATAATGCTAAAAAAACGACTCAAACAGATTCACTCATTACATTTATATTAACTTCTTTAAATATTTCATTGCCTTCATTTAATAACACATGCCTACAAACTTAAAATTCTTTTATCTTGTATCTATAGTGTGAATGATTAATGGATTCTTGTGCAATGATTTTTTTAAAGATTAAGAATATATATAAAAAGTAAACACATACCGTAAGTTCTAATATTAGATTTTTCAGATATGGTTTCTATAAACTTTTTGTGAGCATTTGGCATGTGGTCCCTCATCTTTAAAAGAAATTTCTGTATACCTTTAATAAAGAAAATTATTGAAAATGTTGACAAACAACTGATTTAATTTCATTATAGATAAGTCAGAGACATTAACATTTTCCTGATAAAATTGTCTGTATACTGAGTGTCTGGCAAGTGAAGCACCTACCTACCACCTTCCAAATAAAAATCCAAAATGTTCACTCTAAGTTCTTTGTAAGTCTGTTCCAGTCAGATAAAAAATGATTTTCTGTATTTAGGAAATCATTATCTTACTTCCACATTATGATGGATGGATACTTGCACAATGGCAAATATCACATAAATATCCAAGGGAGAAAACGTGTAAAAAAAGATATGATTATACCCTGCTTATAAACGTATTTACACTTTTGGTATTTAGCTATATTTTGCCTCCGAATGACCTTAGATCTACTCCGAATCACCTTTTGACGTCAGGCAACAATCACTTTTTGATTGTGACGTCAAATGTTTTGAATTATGATGTCAAAGTTTACGGGAACCTGTGTGATTTTACGTAATGGTGGACAAATTTGCATACAAGTGTAAATACGTCTATACTATACCTTCCCTCTGAGCTGAATCTTATGTGCTAACTCACAAGGTCCACAGGAAGACATGTCACTCAACAAGGACACATTATTCAGACTCCAAGCCAGTCAGTATTTACTCTTACTCCTAAATGTTGGGTGTTTGGGAAGCAGCAAATATCTATTTTGAAGTCTTTTGTTTGATCTTGCTAGGAATCAAACCCGCAATTCCATTTGTGTCATAAATTTATACACCTTATCTTTTTATCATTATGTCTGTCTGTCTGTCTGTCTGTCAAATCAGTTTTCCACACTTTTTTTCTTCGTGCTTGAAGATATTGATTTGATATTTGGTGTATTGTTTTATCATGACAAGTTACAGATCAAGTTTGAAATTTGTTCCGGTCTGATGATTTTGTGCAGAGTTATTGTCCTTGAACTTAGAAAATTCACTCAATTAATCATTTTTCCACACTTTTTTTTGTCATGCTTGAAGATATTGATTTTATGATAGTCATTTAGTTTTATCATGACAAGTTACAGATCAAGTTCGAATTTTGTTTTGGTCTAATGATTTTGTGCAGAGTTATGGTCCTTGGACTTAGAAAATTCACTCAAATAATCAATTTTCCACATTTTTTTCCCCCATGCTTGAAGATATTGACTTGGTTTACACCATGACAAGTTATAGATCAAGTTAGCATTTTGTTCCAGTACAATGAATTTTTAACCGGTAGGGGACTATGTATTGCCAGGCAATACTCACAGAATGCTTGTTTTTTAATCAACTTTTGATGAGTTGTGAGATGGTATTTGGTAAACATCACATACATGTATTAACCCTGCTAAATCCACTATTGGTGAATTTTACATAAAAAAAACCAAAACAGATGTCACATTTCTTACTTGTTTCATGCTGTACACCAAATGCTGCATCTAAGCACTGTAATGTTGAACTCTGTGCTGCACTACCCCCAGACATCTGTAACATATATACTGATTTTCTAACATATTTTAAATGAAGCATTCTACATAAATTTGACAAATATTGACTCAAATGTCTCTCTAATTGTCTTTGATTTTTTATGTATTTGTTTTGCTATGTCATTGATGTATACCCCACATCCCCCTTTGGTCATACCATAGCACAAAATCTTAAATGAAAACCCAGCAAGATAATTATTTCACATGGATTTATATAATAACAGTCATACCCCTTTGGTCATACCATAGCACAAAATCTTAAATGAAAACACAGCAAGACAATTATTTCACATGGATTTATATGATAACAGTATACCCTATTTATGCAACAACTAAATTTAATATTGTATCAGTGAATCTTTTCCAGCATTCTGTCCATTTCGGGATTCACTAGTGAAAACGAGACAAGATTTTATTCAGTTCTTATTTTTTAAATAATATACATAATACTGGGATGAAGAAATATACTAGAACATTTCACATACAAGAAATTCTACACATTTGAATTCAGGTGCATAAAATGCAAAGTGACAATCACTGATCAATAACAGCCCTTGACCTGAGAACATGTTAACAGCATAAATCATTCATTAAAAATATACACAACTGGTCAAGCATCGAATAAAATCTGCTGACATAATAAATTTACTTAATAATATATATTTTAGAAGTTGTAATTGTTCATCAAAGTTAAGAAACCAGTTCACAATACAAGGTTGACAAACCACAGAACAACTAAATCTGTCCCATGGAATACATTCAAAACACAAGCATAAACGTCAATTTCACAAACCCATAATCCTCAAAGTTACTGAATGAATTATGTGACCCACCTCTAACTGTTAATATCATATTAAACAATTACTAACCAAAATAATTTACTCAATGCAGAAATAACAAATAGAAACCTAATTACCTGAATAGGTTCTTCAGATATACCTTCATAAATCAAGCCTTCAGGATATGGTGATCCTTCTCCTCCCCACCTATAAATAGATGGAAAGAACTCTAACCATTAACTTGGCTAATTTTTAAATTAATGAACTGTTAACAAAGAGATATTTCTCGGCTGTTGGCAAAAATTCAGAAAAAGACAATCTGATGGAAAGCAACATTGCTTCTTAATTCAAAGTCGCTGGACCATGATCTAGTGGGCAGGGCCTCGAAATGGTTGATAAACTGAGATGTACAGACAGTAATGTAACTTTAAAGAAAATATTGTTGTCTATTGTAAGTAGTTCCTATCTATCTAACTTAAGCAGAAAACTTACATTGAAAATTGCTAATTAATTCAAAGTCACTGGACCATGTTCTAGGGGGCAGGGCCTCAACATAGTTGACAAACTGATATGTACTGACAGTAATGCTACTTTATACAAAATATCATTGATCTATCACAAGTAGTTCCTATTAAACTGACTTTAAGCAGAAAACTTAACATTGAAAATTGATAATTAATTCAAAGTCACCGGACCATGTATTAGGGGGCAGGGCCTCAAAATAGTCGTCAAACTGATATTTACTGATAGTAATGTAACTTTATACAAAATATCATTGATCTATTATAAGTAGTTCCTATTAAACTGACTTAAGCAGAAAACTTATCTTAAAAATTGCTTATATATTGAAAGTGGCTGGACCATTACCTAGGGGGCAGGGCCTCAAAATAATGTCAAATTGATATGTTCTGATAGTAGTGCAACTTTATATTAAATATCAATGATCTATCAAACTAACTTGAGCAGAAAACTTAACAATTATTGAAGCCAACAGTGTCATCATTGTTGTCACCGGAAAAGCAATCCCTATGTCTGGTTTCTGCGACTTTCGTCACAGGCGAGACAAAAATCTCCATATCTATGTTAGCAGCAACAATGGGTTATAAGTAAATGCATCAGTTTGCATGTAAAATATTGTTTTGATAGTAGTTGTGTGAGCTGGTTGTCATATGATATGGTTAAAGTCTTGTTCAGATCAAGTATTGTAATGGCAACTATACTTAATAACAGCTTTCAATAGAGCTTCCAAGTTACCTTACTCCCCAAAAGTATTAGTTTAAATTAACACACAAGTTTCTTCTATCCATAAAACTAGAAAATTGTACAATGTATAAAAAGTAATGTTAATAAACACCAAAAAACAGCATCCTCAAATAAAACATAGTTATTTACATATTTATTTACAGATCTCAACCTTTAAAAGTCCTAAGTGAATATATTTCTGTAAAAATATTTATACCATGCATGTTCATCAGTGTTTCTTTCATCTGTAAAATTACTTGTCTGATTGATATATTTCTTTCAATACCTTTTTTGCCTCTACACAGTAATCATAGTCATGTTAAGTTTATAGAAAGTGGACATAAGTGAATGAAGCATTAAATGTAGGTCATGGTGACCTTAATCTGCTGAATAATGGAATTTGGAGAAAGTTGTTAGATATTTAAATTTGGGGAACAAAATCTCTAGAAAGTGCCCTTTTTGTAAAATTTACTTACATAAACGGAGCAAAAAATTGTACTGCACTTTAAATTTCATCAAAACATAAATAGTTTTCAACAGTTAATCTCTGAAATCATTTTCAAACATTGTTTTTTCCTCAACAATATTGTTATTTATAAAGAAAATTATTAAAGGGAAAAAAATGACCCTTCACAAATTGAAACTGTTTCAAAAACTTTGTGCATCAAATGATTTTTCACAAAATTTCAAAATTTTAATGCAGTTGAGTACTTTATGTTGAATTTTTATCAAAACCATATTATATGCTTATATACACACAGTAAATAGATACAAATATTAAACTAGACTTACCCAGAAAGAAAAGGACGTAGTGTGTCATAGAAAATTTCTGCAGACACCAATTCTGGATCAATAAAATAACTATATTTAAATATAAAATTATTTCATTAGTAAGGTGAAAAATACTATCACATTTCTAAAGTCTTCTTTGAATACCGGTAGATTAAAATATTTGCTTTATTCTAATTTATTGAATTTGATGATAAGGTTAACCTTTATTTTACAATTTTTCATAGTATAGATGTAAAAGATGTAATGTTTCATATTTCTTGATATTCTTTTTTTGTAAATATTCAATTCAAGGATTTTTTCACTTGTATATGTAGACCATATAAAGTTCTTAGCGAATTTATTTTGGTGAAAAAAAATTCATACCATGCATGTTCTTGAGAGTTTCTTTCATCTGTAAAATTACTTGTTGGATTGATATCAAATTTTGAATTAATGTTTCTGTATCTTCTGTATCTGCAGCTTGAATAGCATCAATTATATACTGAAAAATAAAAAAACAAATGAATCATCATATGTTAAATCTTTATTTATTAGCAGGCAGAGTGGAAAAATAAATAAACAAAAAATATGAAGTAAAATTGACTGAATATTTCATGCAAAATATTCTTACTCCAAGTTAAATGATTGTTGATATTTGTATGTTGCCCTCTAGATGTCTTTTGGTTATTTATATTGTTGGCTTGCTGCTTTATTGACATATACACTACATCTTCTTTTATTTACACATACTTTCAACATACATCTTAATCATATCAAAGAAGCTTAAATTTTGATCAGAGGTAATTACTTCTTGTGATTATGCAGACATTTACATATTCAGGTCAAAGGAGAAGGTATGATAAGGCCCTTAAATTAGAAAATCAAAAAAGTATTATAAATATACCAAACAACATCTGTAAGACATTAGTCTGACGGATATCTGTATTCATAGTTATGAATTTAGCCTTTCATATTTGTATTAACGCTTCAAACTTTTTGAATCTAGTGCAAACCCGCATAAACTGCCAAAATAGCCTCATTTTGAGGTCTTGTCATTGAGCACAGAAAAAGATCACCTTTGTAGCAGGTGCAAAATCAAATTCCATACGAGCTGTTACCATGCAAAACCAATTAGTATCCATTCCTCCAGGAAAAGCATATAAACATCGCAGGTTTCTATTTATAAAATAAAATAAAATAAGTCTGGAAATATAAACCAGACAATAATTGCAACAAGAGTGGTAAGTAAAATTTGATATACAAAACAACTTAATCACAGCAATAAAAGACATCAAAGATCTTAGATGTTCTGTTTGAGAAAAAAGTGCCCTTTGAATGTTTTACAGTTAGACTTGATTACAGTCATACAGATGGATTTTCCATTGGGATTCATGAACCAACCTGAAGTTATAAAGAAAATCAAATTGTGTACATCATTCCTAGTTGATAGTGCCTAAGTTAAGAATTAAATATATAACCTTGACAACTATTTATGTTCAGCAACACCAAATTACCATAAATAAATGGGGAATGTGTCTATGGGACACAGATGATGCCCCCACTTGCATAAAACATTATAAAGGGACATAACTCAAGAACGGTAAAAGCGACGTTACCCCAAATTTGTACCTGATCTGAGTTTTGTAGTAATAAGCATTGTGTATAAGTTTCATAACATTTGGTTGAGGCAAACTAAAGTAAGAGAACGGAAACGAAAAATTCAGCAATTTTTCCATTTGTAAAGGGGCTTAACTCTAGAACGGTAAAAGGGACGCCACCAAATTTCAAATTTGATCTGTGTTTTGTGGTAATAAGCATTGTGCATAAGTTTCAAAACATTTGGTTGAGGCAAACTAAAGTAAGAGAACGGAAATGAAAAATTCAGCAATTTTTCCATTTTGAAGGGACATAAATCTAGAACAGTAAAAGTGACGCCACCAAAATTCAAGATTGATCTGTGTTTTGTGGTAGTAAGCATTGTGTATAAGTTTCATAACATTTGGTTGCGGCAAACAAAAGTTAGAGAATGGAAACGAAAAATTTAGCAATTTTTCCATTTGTAAAGGGACATAACTCTAGAATGGTAAAAATGACGCTACCAAATTTCAAACTTGATCTGTGTTTTGTGGTAATAAGCATTGTGTATAAGTTTCATTAAATTTGGTTGAGGCAAACTAAAGTTAGAGAACGGAAACCAATTTTGGGACGTACGGATGTATGGACATACGTACGGACGGATGGACGTACAGACAGACAAGGGTAAAACTTAATGCCCCTTCCGCAACGGCGGGGGCATAAAAATGGCTTAAGAGAGTCTGAATAAATAAATACCTCACATATATGCAAAATTTTTCTTTTTTTTTTCTTAGAATCTCACAACACAACTGTTTGGGTTAAAGTAAGTTAAAATTATCAAATCATACCACAATAGATTTTCATATTACATGTACCGGCTTTATAAATCCAGAGTATATAATTTTCAACAGGTTACCTATTCTGTAGTAGAACAAACTGGTACTCTGTCTAGTAAGAGCAACTAAAAGAAGTAGAATTAATCTTATAATCGGTGCAATTTGGAGAAAAAAATTATTGTTTTATGTTTTCTTTACATGACAAAATAATTGGAAAATAGTTAGTTTTATCCCTAAATTGCACCAATTGTAAGCAAAGAGTAGGTAACCTGTTGAAAAATTAAATACTCCAGAGTCAAAATTCGGTTATATGAAAGTAGTCTATTACTAAAATAGAACGAAGGTGGGGTTGCAAAATTCTTACAGAATTCCTACTGCATTCATGTACAAATACAGCTGTCAAACTTTGAGCAATTTATATTAACACTGGGAAACATAATCCTCAACTTTATCAAAATCTAACATAAACAGCATCAACATTTGTGCATGATAAAGCAGTCATTAAAAATGATTCAGCCAAATTTTGAAAAAATGATTATTTTCAGAGACTCTCAAACCACCAATTGCTGCTTCATTGGCATGTACCTGGTATCTTTTTTTTTATTTATAGGGTTTCACAGAGTTCAGGGTCAAAAAAAAAATTCTCTACAAATCATTAAGAATGAAAGTCTGAGGGTTTTAATGCAGTTTTATAAGTTTTCCCTTTGTTATTGCACACTTTTTGGGTTTTCAAAAAAAAAATTTCAGTGACAAAAAAGTAATTAAGTATGTGCTTACTCAAGTTCACTTTTACCACTGTTTGCAAATTTAACCAAATAAAACCCTTTGAATAAAAAAAAGATGCAAGGTTCATCTCAATGAGACAGCAACCCAGCAAGACAAGACCCAACAGATATGTGGAGAACAACATACAGACTTCAACAATAGATAAGTGTATATTCCCCAAAAAAAATTTCAAGTCCTAAATACCCATGCATCTAGAAAATGTTATGAATGCATTAAACTGAAGCAATGATTAAATGATCAATGGATTAAAAAGTTATACGTGTAAGAAACAACATTAGTAATTGACATAAGTTTTGTATATGGACAACATTTGTTATCTTGACCTTAATTCTGGACTTTAAGAACAAGTATTATTACAATCCAACAGAGTCAGGGTTCAAAGTTATACACTGAAAATTACTTGTGAATTTGGACCCATTACAAAGTATGTGAATTGAAATTATGATCTAACCTAATCATACAAAGCATCATTATAGTCTTTCAAGATTATGAAAAGTAATATATAATAAACAAACTTGCATATATATCTGGATCAAGGGTTTGTGATGTTTACCCTTTACTTTAGAGGTACAAAAATCATGCAAACGTATCCTCATACATCAACATAATATCAGTGCAAAAGCCTGAAGTTGGACAGTGACAAAGATGTATACATATATCATCAAACATGGTGTTGTGTCATACTTACTATATTTTTTACTTACTCTAATGTCCGTGGTCTGAAAATAAAAATAAAAACTCTTATTTGTTTGATTTCCTCTAAATTTAAGGCATGATGATTTCTTTCAATCTGTTAAATTCAGAAAAAGTTTATATTTATAAATACATATTATATTTTGAGAGAATTTAAAAGCATTAAATGTATAGGTATATTTATGATTCATTATAATGTAATAATTTATAATATTTATCTAGTATTCATATATTTTTCCTATGTTGTTGGTTTTGAGGAAAATAAATGATTCAAAATTTGTATATTAGGATATATATTAAAAAGTATAATTCTGTGTTACATTACCAAGTAGCTCAGCTAATATAGTTTTTTATCCCATCAGCAATCCCTCAGTCATTTTTCATTTCAGCATGCTAACTCAAATACTTTATATCAATGTTGCAACTTTACATGGATATATGATCACATATTATAATGAGAAAAAGATCCCTATAGATTTGGAGGTCATCATGGTAAAAACAAATCAAGTCCCAAGTTACTAAAATAAATTGAATTTGTGCAAAAAATCGGTTTCCAATTCCTAAATCAGTTACTACATCTTTTTATTTTTTTATTTGTGCAGAAAATCAGTTACCAGTTCCTAAATCAGATACTACATCTTCTTATTTTTTTATTTTTAAATGACATGGCGTATTAACAACCAGCTAATGTTACATACCTCTGTGGATCTAAAAGTGTCCAGTTACACAGTACAATATCTGGATGACAAACAACAGGTTTGATACCAATCTTCTCTGATACTTTATACCATGGCACTGCAAGACATTCTGGTAATACCTGGAAAAGGTTATCATATTTTCTGATGAAAATTTAAAATTCAGTTCACAAGATAAATATTTTTTTACTAAAAGGATGATGGTATCAATTATATTTCACTATTCTCTTTGTATTTGTAATACTAGTAGTTTATTTCCCTAAGAGATATATATTTAAAACTAGAATGTTGGACGTTTTCAAGATTATCTAATCAAACTAGATATAGCACCTCTATGTGAAAAATAACCAAATTTTAAAAAACAACTCTGGTGGATAGATGTCTTATTGGCTATCATACCACATCTCCTTACTTTTATTTTAATAGAAAAATGTTGACCAACTTTGTGCTAGACAAGAAGATTATTTTGATTTGCATACATTATCATACTTTCTGTGAAATGGATCTTTAAAGGTAAAACTTACTCTTAGTCACTCGACTATAACATTTAATAGTACCAGTAACCTCAATGTTGTACCAGACCATTGTACTCTACAGAAACCCTTGTGGGGAAATATAATCCCCATTTCATCGATAATTTTCATTTCTTTTCCTATAAAGGCTTTCATGAGGCACTGTAACTGACTGTTTGAAGTTGTTAAGATCATAAAGAACTATATGTTGGGCAATAAGTGATAGAATTTGAAGAAAGACTTCAACATCTCTACATGTGTACATGCAAAACACAAATTATACACCAGGAAACAAAGTGTAAGAGGGTATATAGGATTCAGCCTATTCGTCTGTCCAGACCAACTCCTTATACTTTGTTAGATTCACTTCAAACTCTGTAGAATAAAAGAATTTGATATGCATTACCAAAAAAACGAAACTTTTATTCTGTTTAGTTTATCCAGAATCATACCCTTTCACTTTGGAAATTTCACCCTTTTCAGAACCAACCTTGCTCTCACAACTCCTCCTACATGGTTTATCGCATCTACGTAAAACTTTTGTACATTGTTAGATCTTAATATGTAGAAATGCATGTGGGAAGAATTTTCTGGTCCATTGGCTTTGTTTTTAGTGATGTTCCTTTGAACTTCGAAAATTTGGCAGAAACGTCCTTGTCATTGCAACTCCTCCTATATGGTTTATCATGAAACTAACTGCATTGCTAGATACTAATATGCAGATGTGCATGTGAGTAGGAAGTTCTAGACCATTGAGTTTTTTTAGTAATGTCTGTTGAACTATACACAGAACCATATATATACTTGTCTTATATAACCTGATGACATCATACAAACCTTAGGAACGCCTTTGTCTCCATCCTGCCATATATATCCTGATGATATCATAGATAACTGAAGGTGTGCCAATCTTAACTGTCTGTAGCCTTTCAACTTATTGTGATCCAAAACTGGCATCTAAAACAAAGAAAAGAGTAGATTTGATAACTTTTGAAAATATTTGTTGGGGAAACAGGCCCTTTTGCAACAAAAAACAAGATATGAGTATAACTAGATTGCTAATAGACTGCCCTTATGCAAATCCCATAACAAAATTTCAAAAAACAGAAAAAAGCAATTTTTCCGCAAAAATTTTCATAAGACGAAAATGAAGATTTGATAGTACATGTATCTTAATTTTAAAAAATGTTTTTATGATTGAATTTTTTCCCCAAATATTACAATACTATTGAATCCAATGGACAAATTAACGGACATTTTTTTACATCAGAACAATAAAGCTGAACCTTATCAGTAGTTGCCCTTAGAAATATATAGTTTATATGCTTTAGACATTAAATGCTGACTGCAGGTCGTTGGTGATGTCTGTTAAATTTATTCCCACCTTGTCAAGACTTGATCTTGTCTATAGTTAAAGATTGTATGTTAAATGATGTTGACCTCTTGATCTCTTAAAATTGTGTTAGGTTGCTGTCTCATTGCTATATAGTCACCACATCTCCTTCATTTCAACAGAATATTGCATATGTTTTTCATTCGTTAATCATTTTAATAATCTTTTAACAGTACAATTGTAAATTGTATGCATTATATAAGTAGAAGTTGTGAAGTTCACCATTCATAAACAAAGGGAAACTTGTCTAAATATCTAAATTATTAAAGAATATTCAGGATATCCTGATTCACTATAATTCATCACAAAAAGATTTCTGGTTATCTCAGGTTTGAATTAGGTAAGTATCCATCAAATAATCCAAAAGTTTCTAGATATTACAACTTTCTTCAACTCTGATTGATGTTAGAGATTTATAGGTTTCACAACGAGTGAGAATTGGATATGGCTTTATATCAACTCGATTTATTTAATTTCAATATAATAATAAACGAGCCTTAGGCGAGTTTATTATTACTATTTAAATTAAATAACGAGAGTTGATATTAGGGTGTACTCATTGTCTTGCTACATAACAAAATAAGAAAATTTGCTGTACATACTTAATTTTCTTGGTTATCTCCCCTGATTTAACCAAGTTTAACATTTTGAAAAAATTTGATATGAAAAAAAGACTTTATTATAAGATAAAATCATTTTTATTTTTTGTATAAATGAAAAGTCTCACAATTTGTTTTTCTTCTTCAAATTTAAGTAAAAATCTACAGCAAGGGCACTTAGTAGGTATATTTTTTACAGAGACAAGTTCCTGTGATGTGCAAACCCCTGATCTACCTAAAACCAAAGAAAAATGTTGTTAGAAAATTGAACAAGGAACTGTAAGCAGCATATGAATTGAAAGTAAATTGTACTTGTTTTATAGTTCCACACCTTGTCAACTTCTTCCCTTATCCTTTTCTGTAGTATCAAACTTGTCAGATTTTCTGCTAGATAATTCCATTGTCCAAAATAGTCTGGTAAGGTACACTGAAAGAACAAGCAGGAGATAGAAAAAAAATTATTATAGACCATTTAAATTTAAAGTGTATAATCTTTAGTGCAACCAAATGTAAGAGCAGTTAAGAGATCACAGCAACCTGAAGCTGTGGAATTAACATTTTCTGTATTTACATTGAATTTGACTGAAGCCATTTTCCTCATGTGTGCATTATAAATTCTCCTCTAAATTGATTCTTCTGCCACAGCTTAATTGCATTTCACAAAGCTCTTCAAACTAGTATTTCTAATCATTTGTTTTCAAGAATTAGCATGAAGCCATTCTCTGTCTATAATTGACCTTAAATAATAGTATACATGGATTTCCATGAGAGAAATTATAAATATATGCTAATAAAATTGAAACTGAACTTTATTCTTTTAGTGTCCCAACTGAAGAGCACACCATTTTTAGGACTATTTTTTTTTACATATGAATGTAAATTGATTTTATTTTTGGCATAAAAATAAAATTTGATGAACTTGACCCCTTAAACCTGTTTTTTTTAGTAATCTTATTTGTATTTTTTCATAAAAGGTAATTGATGAATAATATTTCACTGGTGCTTGCTTCATACAATTGGTGATCCAGTTGCTTCAAAGTGCACTGTACTTTTAATTCTTACTTAGCGGTAAATATCAAATAAAGACTGTTACAAAACAAATTTGTATTTCAAAAGGGAGAGTAATTTAAAGATTTACAGAAAATGTTAAATATTCTTAACAATTGGTGTTTTATTAATGGACTTAATGTCAATATTAATAAATCCATCTGTACCTTGAACTGAATGTAATTTTACAACAGGAAGAAATGCAATGGAATGTGTTAGTAATTATCAATACCTGGGAATATTGTTAACAGAATTTTTAGACTATCAATTAATGGCTAAGGCAGTAGCCAAATCAGCCAGTAGAGCATTGGGTTTATTGATTGTAAAAAGTAAAACATATGGTGGTTTCCAACATGATATTTTTTCTAAATTATACAACACTATGGTCTGGTCAGTTATTGATTACGGGTCGTATATTTGGGGTACACGTGATTACTCATGTATTAATTCTGTCTAAAATAGAGCCATAAGATTTTTTATGGGTGTCGGTAAATATACCCCAAATGATGCCATACATGGAGATATATGGGTTGGAAACCACCATCTGTAAAACATAATGGACAAGTGTATTTAGACACTGGACAAGATGTACAAATATGAGTCATGATAGAATAAATTTTAAAGTTTTCAAATGGTCAACGAAGAAAGCTAGAGGTAGAATCAAGAATTGGAACCACAGAGTTATGGAAATGTTTAAAACTCATAATTTTGAAAACTATTGTAACTTTGAAACTAATGTATTAAAAAAGTGTATTATTGTACAAATTGAAACAATAATGTTTGGTAAATATAAAATAGATTGGAGTAATAGAGTATCTACACCGTATGCTCAAGGTAATAAATTAAGAACATATAAGTTATTTAAATATGATTATTGTACTGAACCTTTCTTTTAAAATGTAAATTGCCACCTAAATTTAGAAGTGCTTTTGCAAAATTTATATGTGGAGTTGCTCCCCTTAGAATAGAAACAGGCAAATATGAAAGAAAAGAAATACATGAAAGAACATGTTTTTATTGTTATTATAGTATTGAAGAAGAACTGCATGTTTTATTAAAATGTCCACTATACAAAGATCATAGACGCATATTGTTTTATGAAGCTGCAAATTTTATTGTGGATTTTAACGTTTTATCAGATAATGAAAAGTTGATTTTCTTATTCAATAAATATAAAGTTTTTGAAAGTGTGGCCAGAACCTTCTTAATTTCGGGATTGTGCCGGTATTTTCGCTCGAATTCCAGATTTCAGAGAAAGAATGCTTTATTTTTTTTAGGGAATTCCGGATGACACCCCTACATAGATAGGCAACTTCAACAATGCTTAATAGAGGAAATATTTCTCAATATGTTTTTTCACTGATAACTCTTGATAAATTTTTAAGCATCCAAGCTCAAATTTAATTAATTACTTATTTTCTTGTATATATATTGTACACTGATTAAATGTCTTTTATAATCTCCACCAATAAGGTGTATATATAATAGTAATTATTGTTATACAAATAAAAATAAAAAAATCCTGTTTTAATTTTCGTAAGTTAAATTATCAAGAGTCATGATGTAATTTTTTAGTTATTCATCATCGAGATTCTCATTTGGAACCTTGATAGTTATGGTGATTTCATGATCTTTCCAATTTCAAGTATATATATGACTCTGTTTATACACAGAAATATTCAACTAGATTGCCTGTATGATTGATTTATTGTAGATTGCTTAACATCCAGTGGCAAATGTTTCATGCACAGTTCTGCCAACTTTTAATAATGCAAATGCGTGAGATTTGGCCAAAATCGTAAAGATCAAAGAGAAAAAACAATAGATCAAAGGAAAATGCCACCAAATAAGCATGAAAATGCGCGAGTCTCACGCTACTTGGTAGCCCTGCATGCATATTCAGGAGATGATAATTTTCATGCAAAGTCATAAACTGCAGTCCCAAGCATGAATAAAGAAACTAAGATTTCATTTCAAAAATGTTGGATGGGAATATTTTTTATAGCTCAATCGAAGCCCAACCATGTTATATAAGCTTAAATTCTAGATATACTGAACCTGTCAAAAAAGGCAACTATATCTATATATATATATATGTGTGTATTTGATTCTCAACTAATATTTTAAGCTTTTAAAATAACTTTAGGTAGCAGTTTAGGTATAATTACAAGTGGATCAGGTAGCATAAAACCGAATTCTTCACAAACATAAAAATCTTCCAACTTCATGCTATCTTCATAATAACCTTGCCTTGTAAGTTGTAGTAGTACTTTGTTCTAAATCTACTTTCACTTTCACTTTGCCAAAAAATAATCTGTGAACAAATGAGAGAAAAACACCCATATTATTTCGTAAAAAAGAGAAATTTTTCTTTTGATATTTTTTTTTCTATTTTTAAATGACAATGCTTTTGTTTAATGATTTGACATGATAATTATACGAAAATAAATACGGTTACTATAGAGAAAATATACAAGATGGCGTCGGATCGTGCAGACTCAGTTTTAGAATCTCACAGAACGTCTCTTTTAGAGTTAATTGAAGACAGAAATAAAGCTCTAAATAAGGTTTGAACTCAGCATGAACAATATAAACTAACAGATTACCTATAAAGTGATAAAACTGTCCAAATAACCCATTTAATTAACGTCACTGTCGGACTGTGTTTCAATAACATCAACAACATGACAAGCACCTGTTGTAAACTCAAAGTCAAAAGCTTCAATTAAGTCGGTATATATTCAAAACAGTACAACATAAACTCAGCAGACCTTTTAAAACCTGCATATTCATTACATTTAATAAAACATATATTTCCTGCGCAATAAATATAAACAAACATTTAATAAAACATACATGCATATGGTTATTTATTCCACATTGACAAGAGGTATAGCCTAGGGGGTAGGGGTGAGATCACACAAAATATGTTTAACCCCACCACATTTTTGCGCCTGTCCTAAGTCAGGAACCTCTGGCCTTTGTTAGTCTTGTATGATTTAATTTTGGTTCATTTATGTTTGGGAGTTTAGTGTCCATTTCGCTGAACTAGTATACATTATTGTTTAGGGGCCAGCTGAAGCCCTCCTCTGGATACGGGATTTTCTCGCTGTGTTGAAGACCTATTGGTGGCCTTGGGCTGTTTTCTGCTCTTTGGTCGGGTTGTTGTCTCTTTGATGCATTCCCTGTTTCCATTCTCAATTTTATAAAATGTACATATGTTTACTCTGCTTGTTGTTCAGGTGAAATTAGAATCTAAAAAAACACCAAAAGATTTTGAGGTATACTTATGAAACTCACAGAAATAACTAGTAGGTAAAAAAGATGGAATATGAAGCAGTGTATACTAATCAATCAGTAAATTTTCATGTTTCCCTTAACTGACTAGTGTTTCCTACATAAGATTTTGTCTTGCCCGCAACAAAAATTGCAGAATGCAAGACATAAGGATTACTATCTGGCAGCGATGGCAGAAATTATTTGTATAAAGCTTTATATATAAAAATAAGAAGATGTGGTATGATTGCCAATGAGACAACTCTGCACAAGAGACCAAATGACACAGAAATTAACAACTATACATGTAGGTCACCGTACGGCCTTCAACAATGAGTAAAATCCATACCACATAGTCAGCTATAAAAGGTCCCAAAATGACAAATGTAAAACAATTCAAACAAGAAAACTAACGGCCTAAATGTTTATTTAGACAAAGACCTGGATTCTTCCATACAGGTCTGTCAACTGACCTGTATTTTGCAAGTCAAACCAAAGAATTCAACAGCTCACCCAAGATGTTTTATAGTAGCCAGGGTGATCAAATAACCAGTAATTTCGACATTTGACCTGTTTTCATCCGTATTTTTGTGCCTTGAGACTTTTTAAGTATGAAATGATAGATTTCATAAGTGATTTTCCTTTGTAATTCTGGCAAATTCATAATTCTTCCTGGACAGGATGTTCAACTTGCTGTGTTAACTGTCATATTAAGTGCATGGCTTCACTTGACAGCTTTAGTGTCAAACACAATGTTAATTAACAGCAATTACCTTAGCCTAAGGTTATGAATAATTTGTGTATTTAAAAGATGTTTGACAAAAAATTCCATTTACTCCCCCTTTCTTGCCAATTTTCACAGTATACTTTTTGAAATAATGTTTCTTTGTAAAAAGATTAAATCTAATAAAAATTGAATGCAAAGATATTTAAGAATATTACTTAAATGATTTAGGACAGTTAAAAAATTAATATTTTGCAAATTATTTTTTTCATCTCTACATCCTTTTTAAAATGCTTAAATTTTAAATAATATTATCTAATATTGAAGATCGTGCAAGACCCTCATGGGTAGTCAAGGTTGTTAAAAAAAACACCTCGTCGTCAATTGTACACCAACTCTGTGAGACCCTCATGGGTAGTCAAGGTTGTTAAACAACCCCTAGTAGTAGTAGTCATTTTAAATTATTGAGAAAAGCTATATAGTGTTACTTTGCTATAAAAAAAACAAAGAAACAAAAAAGGTTAAGGGTTGATTTAAAGCAGTGTAAATGAAACAATAAGAGGGGTATAATGGCTTGAAATGATATATATATATTAATATTTCAATGAGTAATAAATGCAATGAAAAATTAAATTAAATTTTAAATTATTTTCAGTATTATAAAAGACTTAACCATGTGAACATATTTTGGAAACTTCAATTTAAAATATAAAAAATGTCCCCTAAATACTTAAATTTATCTGAAAAAAGGTTTTTACGCGTTATGACCTAAGATTTTCTTCTTCAATGCAAGGGATGACCTGCATTTTCAATTTCAGAGGTTGACAGGTATGTTCTTTATACTTTGTATGCAGATGCCTTATGTTATGATGTTTCGTCTCTCTGGCAGGTTTCATCTGACCTTAACCTTTTTAACACGTTTCAATGGACAATGTTAAGTTTTTCCTGTTCAGTCTATTTCTCATATACTGTAAGCAAAAGGCCAGTCCTCTATATTTGGTGTATGGAATGATTTTAAGGTGTACAAATGTACATGTCTGTTTCTATCAGGTTTCATCTGACCTTGACTTCATTTTCATGGTTAATTTTATCAATGCTAAGTTTTCATGGTTTTGTCAATTTATTAGATACTATAAGCAATAGGTCAACGATATTTGGTGTATTAAATGATTGCATGGTGTAAATGTTTTCCAGCAGGGTTCATCTGACCTCGACCTGATTTTCATGGTTCACTTGTCAATGTTCAATTTTCAAAATTAGGTCTGTTTCTCAGATACTATAAGCAAAAGGCTAACTAGATTTGGTGCATGGTAAGATTGTAAACGTGTCTGTCTGGCCGGGTTCATATGACCATGACCTCATTTACAATGTACATGGATCATTGATTATGTTAACTTTATGTGATACTTGTAGTGAAACCTTCACATTACAGACTTTTAACATATATTCAATTATGATCTATACAACAGGCGAGAAATTTCAGTGTGTACATTCTTGTCCATCGTACATGCCCTGCAGTAATTTATGACTTTAATGATTTATCATTCCATAAGAATGTAAAATTATTTACTATAGGACATGTATATAATCAAATTTTATTAGCTGCCATTTTATCAAATTTCATATTTTAACTGTTACAAACATGTTTGAGTTGAGTTTGGGTTGAGATCTCACAAAACATGTTTAACCCCAATACCCCAATTTTTGTGCCTAAAAATAGATCCACATTTGCACCTACTATTACGTACATGGGGGACATATACTTGCCTCCCCATGCCGCTAAAGTTATATTTGCTTAAGAGCAACAAAAACACATCTATTTCCATAGCAAGTTTATTTCAAAGAGACAGATAACATCACATGACAAATATGCATCATTATACAAAGGGACACAACTGTCACGACTTTACCATAAAACACATACGACCATTCATATACATAACATCCCCGCCCCCCAAAAAAAATTTCACAAATTTTATCCAAAAGGTGTATGTGTTTTATCCATATACAATTTCAAGAAGAAGAAAAATTGCACTATAAATTCAAACTATATAATCAATTTGTAGATCTATAAGACTAAAATCAGTTTCCAAATAATCTTTGTAAATACATTTATAATAACTGAAATATTGGTGGCTGACCAGTTCTCGCATCTAGTATCAATTGGCATACACACCAGTATCAACTATGCAGAAAAATCCGAACGTCTGGCATCTCGGTCTCCCCCTTAGGACCTTATGCACGCATTACGTTCATTCAACTATATGAACTAAAAAATATACATTTGATACATTTACTCAATCTACTAAATGGAAAAGACTAGAATATTGTCATAAATGTAGCTGTATACAACAAAATGATAGATAATCATCAGAGACCTTTAACTCTTAACAATGGTAAATATTACATCAATAAAACACTTCATAAGTTACATATGTCAGTAAAAGAAAATACGACTAATTCTCCCTCTCCAACATGGCCAATCTCTCATACTGCACACTCACAAAATAAAATAAAGATGAAACAAATGAAAAGCTCCAGAAATGTCAATATCAACCTAGGTTTTACTTATGACTATTATCCTATCGCTACTGACAAGCCGCTGTCCAATCAGGCCAACTGTTTACAGAAATTTTATGTATAAACTTGGATACACACATACCAGATAATTCATAAAAAAAAATCCTTCAGACAAAATTGATATTCAGTATTAATGTTTGAAAAAATTCTGTGTTTTCCTTGTACAATGTTGTAACTTGGGAGTGTACGACGAGATAAATCTCACACATACCGTCTGGCATCTTTGCAGTAGAATCTAAATCGTTCAAAACTGTTACATATTTTCCCTGCTAAATCCTAAATACACATATAGGTCAAGCCGATTAGTTACTAAAGATAATGCCAATTACTAAGCAATTATTTTCGAAGTACTGTAAGATGATAGGCCGGGACATCACATGACACATGCTACAGTTTTCTGCACTCATAAACATACACAGCTGTATTTCTTGATGTCAAACTCCAATGCGGTTAAATGTTTTTTGTGTAGAAATTTCTACAGAGTCCAAATGAAACATTAAAGAGTCTTTAACGATCAGATGACAAATAATAAACAATTGCGAAAAGCTTTCGATATTAATATACATGTAGTTTAATAACAGTTCTTAGAATTTTACCCAAAAAAATGTACAGTTTTCTTTTGCTGACAAAAAACTCCCATGGTGACTTCTGAATATTGGCTAAATCCAAATTAACATCCAAATTTTACATAAAATCCTACAATCAGTTCCATTGTCAAATGCATGGTACATGTACTGCTATACTCTACTGAACGAAAATTCCAAGATTTTAACGTAGTCGAAATTTAATAATGGTGCCGCCAGCCTCGTGTTCTAGACTTTTAGAAAGTTGATTCATCATCTTTGGGACAGCTCACATAAAATACACTTAAAGGGATCGTTTTGAAGTCCTCCACCATATTACGTACATGGGGGGACATATACTTGCCACCCCAAGCCGCTAAAGTTATATTTGCTTAAGAGAAACAAATACACATCTATTTCCGTAGCAAGTTTATTTCAAAGAGACAGATAACATCACATGACAAATATGCATCATTATACAAAGGGACACAACTCTTACGACTTTACCATAAAACACATACGACCATTCATATACATAACACTACCATAATCAACTGTTTTGTGAAAATTTGTCTTTGATTTAAAAGTTTACAAATATCTCGGAGCTCCATACTGTAATTTTAGTATAAAAACATATATAAGATGCAACAATCCTATATTATGCACCTTCATTAAACTTTTAAAGCCCATAGAAACAGATGTAACCAATTCAAATAACCGACTTGGCCATTTTTACCTTCTCTAATAAAGAGTTCCATTTGTTTTGTTTGATTATAAAAACTAGATAATGGCGGATACATACAAACTAATTTGTGGTGTACACTACTCTGTATTTATACATCTGTTTGTTTGGATAATTCTCATTCAATACTATGTATAACATGCACAACTATTACATGTACGTTAGGAAAATTGTGTTTCTAAATTCCTACATTACTTGCATACAAATTTAAAACTGATTATGTTCGAAGCATGATTTAGCATGTAGAAACCACTATTCAGCACAAATTCAGTCTACTTTTAGTAACCATGACCTTTGACCTGGTGACCTCCAAAATAATAATCCATGTAAGTTGTAACTCATTGACCACATCCAGTAACTGGGTTGAGGTCTGTGTTACAGTATATAATTCCTTTATAGGTGTACTGGGGATGCAAAAATTTATGGTTTTTTTTCAAACAATTAACTTCTAAAAAATAACATATTTTTTTGTATGATAAAGAGCAAAAAATTTCTTGTTACTTTATCTTTCACTTTTTTAAAGCCCTTTTGTTTTACAAAAACATAAATTTAAAAAAATAAAATAACAACAGATTCACTGTTGGCTGTTTCATATGCTGGTAATACCAGCCTGGTATATGGAAAGACATGAATGAATAAACTTTCCTCCTCTCTTGATGGAAAGAAGAAGAAAAAACTGTTGGTTTTAAGTACAAATCTTCCTCTGGACCATGCAGTGGGTGGTATATGGGGTGTTTCAAAATCTTTCTAAATAATTGTCATACTGCAGTTTTTGATTAAAAAAAAAGCATTCATTTGCCAAGTTGTATTTGTTATATCCCATGTGTTGCCATATCAACGAGACTGAAAATTTTATTTGCTTTAAAGGTGAAAAATAACACAAAAGTAGTGCATATTTATATAAAAAGTGATATGATCTGGTGCAGTGGGAAATCTAGTGTCAAAAATTACCACCATAACAACAAGGTCAAAAGTGAAAAAAACTCTTTAGTGGCATCATAGTAAATATACTACCCCTATTACAGCACCAGCTGTATGACATTCCATGTTTTCTTTTTCTCATCAGATTTTGTCACAGTACACTGATTTCATGAATATCGTCTCAAAGTGTCAATTGTATCCATGTGCTTGAGTAGGTTACAATCTTTTTTTTTAAATAATGATTTCTTTGACTTTATTAAGGTTTTGAAATAAAAATTGCTTGAAACAAGGAATTATTTTAATCTGTAATAATTTTGAATTCGGGAAAATTGATAAGAAATATATATGATGAAAACTAACCCAACTAAATTGGGAGGTTAGTTAGTTCATACTGAAATATCGCTGAAAGTGAAAACCTAAGCCATGGGTGCATGGCTAACCCTATTTAGTTGGGTTAGTTTTCATCATACATTTGTGAACAATTTTCCAGAATTCATAATTATACCAGATTCAAATAATTCCTTGTTTTGACCCTAATCAGAAGAGATTCTCCAACAAGACCATATTTTTAAATCGTAGAGGATTTACCCCTTTAAAAAATCATTATTGAATGTGGAAATCCAAGGTATCACAGTTAGTAATTTTTATCATTTTTCTTTTTAAATCAATGATGAAGAAAATTATAAGAAATTTTTGAAAGTATTTTTTAAACAAAAAAAGTTCAAAAATTTAAAACAAAGGACATAATCAGTTTATACATTTCAAAATATGTTTCAACTTTAATTCATCTGTTTGTTATTAGCCATAAATAAAGTCTTTGCCATTTCACAATTTTACATGTACATAAATAACCTATCTTGTGTTTTTAAAATTAAGCATGAAGTGATAAACACTTATGCAGGTTTAAGGTCTGGACTTTGTTTTTAGTAAAAGGACTCCTCATAATTGTCAGTAGATTTAAGATGAGTTTTTGATATAGTTGAAATGAAGTTAAGATCTTCTGAAATTCATTTCATAATTCTGTAAACCATTAACCAGTGCTCTTTGATGAATAAGATTTCATGATACAAACTTTAAAATGTAAAATATTTCATACCTTTGCTTATTTGATACATTTCACTGAACTAGTACATATTTGTGTTTAGGGGCCAGCTGAAGCCTGCCTCCGGGTGCTGGATTTTCTCGCTGTGTTGAAGACCCATTGGTGGCCTTGTGCTGTTTTCTGCTCTTTGGTCGGGTTGTTATCTCTTTGACACATTCCCCATTTCCATTCTCAATTTTATGTATCATTTTAAGTTGTACATGTCATTTACTTATACACTTATAGTTACATATTATTGAAAGTACCAATTATAATATGAATTTGATATTAGAAAATCCTTACCTTACTCTGTTAAACTTGTTTGCTGAATTAAAAGCTTTCACTTTGAGTTCTATCATAAAATAGTTATACAATAAAACTAGATAAGAGTTTAAAAAGACCAATATGCATGTAATGTAAATATGTCAACAGTAGTTAAAAGGCTGTAATCAGCCACTTTATATAGTAAATTATATACCTGTGGTTCTCTCTATAAAACCATTATCATGAGTTGTCAGGGAACTTTTCTACAGTTATGTCAATAAACTATACAACACATACTATTGATGAACCAATGATTTACTGGCCTATGGGGGAGTGTAGAATTTTTCTCTGGCAAAATGGCTACCAGTTCTACATCTCAGCCTGAAATCTCAGGACCTGAAAGTGAAATTGATGATGGTGAAGAGAAGCCTAAGGCAAAGAAAAAATTGAGAAAGAAAGTTCAGAAAAAGAGGAAAACACCAGAATTTAAATTCGATTGGCCTAAAAAGAATTACTTTGATGTCATATATGGAGAAATTGACCCTGTGGTAGGTTTCTGAAATTGTATATTTCTGTCATGTGACAAAGTTACTTTTTTACCTTGTAAATCATATTTTATAAGAATATCAAACAATTTAAAATGTTCTTGTTTTTTTTCTTCAGAAAAATCTTCTGCATCGTATGGTTTATATTGCAAGTCTGAGAAATGAGGAAGCAGATTCAGATCAAATAGCTAGTAAGTCTTATTTATAACTTTTTGTTCTGACATATGATAGATAAATAGATCAGACTTTAAGTACAAAGGCAACCTATTTTTATTTGAAGAATGTTATATATTTTTTGTTTGTAGGAGATATGTACTGTAGTTTGGAGACTTTTTTCATTCCATTTATTTATATGGTAAAACTTGAAAGTCATCAAATTTTTACATTGTACATTTTACTGTTGAAAAGGAATGATTTGTATTGAATGATGATTTAATTGTCAAATTCTTGATTGGGACTAGAGGTTCAGCAGTAACAATCAATTAATCAAGTTCATACTTTCAGAAATGACTTTCCAGAAACAGCTAGCTTTTCTTCGAAACACTTGTACCAAAAGTTAATAGGGGGAAAAAAGGTTAAATAATGATACCATTTTGCATTATCCTTTAAGAAATGAATTTTCTGCATTTTGTTAAGAAACGTTAAACACCTTGTCAAAATAAAACATCATGTAAGTAAATAATATGAATTTACTATAATCCAAACACCATGATTATGCTATGGGTTACTAAGGTATAAAGATAGTTTTTCAATATTTACACAGAAAAAAAGAAAAAAACCTTATTAGGTGTGCTTTTTTGGTGAACAAGCACATAAAGTTAATTTTTAAAATACTGAAATTTTGTAGGGTAATTTGTTATCATTTATAGCACTATCTTTAAATATGTAGGGTTAAGCCTGATTATATTGAGAAAACAGTTTTGAAAAGATTTTGATAATGCTTGCTTTCAAAATTAGGAAAAGAGCTTTGCTCCCCTGAAACCTTTTATTTCTAATTTTAGCTTTTATTTCATGCAGTTTGATTATTCATGACACAATATGTTACAATTGGGAAGATTTATGAGATTTTTCTTCCTATGATAAATTTTGATTTAAAAGATAAAAGATTTGTTTGAATAGTTTAAGCAATTGATTGAGCAATTCCTTGTTAATAAACATTATTTCACACTTAAACATACAGTAACTAAAAATTGTGCTGTTTACATTGCCCTATTGTTATTTGAACAGAGATGTTTAGATATAAAACAAATGTATTGGAAATCATTTAAAATACAAAATTATCAATATCCATTGTTATGATCACCTACTAAATGGTTTTAATACAAATGCTTTTTCATTGCTATTTCTTAGATTTACTCTATTCTTTTTGTATGATAATTTCTATTTCATGCTACTCTACTCAGAATGGCTTTTTTCAGTCCAGTAGAGTCAGATTTATAACATCATAAGAAAACATCAATGAAGTTGCTTAGGAAAATAGTAGGAAACTCCCTCATGTTTTCAAAACCATAGAATACCTAGAAATCCTAACACATTCCACTTTTAATTACAAAACAAATTGATATTGCAACAGTGTCCTTATGTATATTATCATTATCTAAATTGTATAAAATACTGTTTATAAATTAAAGTATAAAGACATGTTTACTTAACACATTTTGCAAATCTCTGAAGAATATAATGTTACAGTGATTCTAGCAGTTAATTATAAGGTCTGATATCAATATATTTTGACCTGTCTGGGATGATTTTCGTACATATTTTTGAAAAGTGTTGGTGTCCAATTGACACATATTCTTGTTAACTGTAATAATAAATATATAGTTGCATGGGTTTTGTTATAGTAAATATTAAACAAGCCCTTCTAAATACAAAATTGTATCATATTACATTTATTTGTAGATTATCATGAAAATTTGAAGAAGAACTTAGAGAGTGCACAACAGTACTCAGAACATGTTTCAATAACAGGACTTCTCCTTGTATATACCAAACACATTGTTCATATTGTTGAGGTAAGGTTCCTGGTGACACACGATAACTTCATTATATATTTACACAGTTTAACAGGTTTTATAATCTTTTTCTTTTTGGCTTATAATGTGTCATGTTAATGTCACAAACTTTCATATTATATAAAAGCTGGTTACCAATTAGGAAAATTTGCAACCATCTATAAATTTTAAAGGTATTGTTATTAAGTTGATTATTAATTTGCCATAATGAAGTAGAATGGCACTTCTGGTATAGGGGTACCCCTGTGTCGATGTATGCATCCTGGTGTGAATGTATATCTGAATTCTGAATTACTCTATAGCAATATAATCTGGTGTGCATATATGTGCATCAAGGATGGATTGACCTTTATGCCATTAGAAGAAGATGATATGACCAAATTTCATGCTCAGTGGCTTTGATAAAGTTTTGAATATTCTGCAAGCATTTCATCCAAGTTCATAGATCTATACTAATCAATCTTTGAAAGAACCATATTAGTACTCAGTGTGCTTACAGGGGAGTATATATAGCGGCTTCCTGCAAAAGTTGGGTCACTCTGACCTATATTTTATGCCTCTTGTACAAAGTTTTAACCTCCATCTGCATCCAGTTCTTGAATATGTCAAATCATTTTTAGAAGATAATTTGTGCAATAATTTTACAGTACTAATAAACCATGCAGAATGACACCTGACAGAATGACAAATTTTTACAACAATTCATATTGTTAAAAATTATACTACACAATTTAGTCACCTAAAATGACTTTACATTCCCTAACGTGTCATCTTCATAATCCGGATCATATAGGGATACACACTACAACTTTGATTTCAATATTCTACAAAATAAAGTTAAATATGTTGTTTGATTTGAGTACTGAAGAAATAAAATAAAAAGAGTGCTTTTGTTGTTAATGTAATGATTGTTTCAGATTGATCCTAATACATTATGCAGCATCATTATCAACAATAGGACTCTTATGTTACCTCAATAAAGTGTCACATACAGATTTAGTAGATTTTAACAATGAAACATATTTTTTCTTATGAAAAATCAGTGATGTAGTCTGAACAAAAATTTTGTATTTAATATAGTCAATTCTAAATATCACAATGATTATTGTATGGAAAAGTTACCAAATGGGCACTTCCATTTTACATAAATAAATAACCGATAATACACAAGATATAGGGAGATACCACAAGATTCTAATACTAATGATCTACTAACACAGGCAAAAATTATAAAGCATCATAGGTTTTTATTAGTAGCACATGCACTGGACATTCTTTCAATAATGTGAATGTATAAAAGAAGTCTTTTGTTATTATCATTGCAACTTTTTTTCTTCCCATTGCCCATATTTTATTATAATTGATAAAACTTCTAGTGCATGTGCTAATAAAAACATAATGCTTTAAGTTAATATTATGGAGGTTTGCATTTCATGATAATCAAGTATTCTTTTTATATCCATTAAAAAAGTTAACTAATATTATGGGTTTTAATCTTTAAATCTATTATTCCAAGCTAAAATATTGATCATATGCATATAAATGAAAGAAAGAACATTTTGAATTATCTCCCTCTATTTAGATGGTTTTTAAAAAAATTGCAATTAAAGTTTAAAAGATATATATAATTCATTTTCAATATTTCTTTGAAGTTAAACAAATCTTTTTTAAAAGTATTTGATTAGCATTTCAGAAAAATTTGCAAGTTATCTACTGGTTTTTGCAAGAATTTCATAACATAGAAACCAAATAAAACTTCTGATCCCAATTGGTGCAGTTTTAATAATAAATACTTACAGTTACCGTTTCAGTAGAAACTTGTTACTAGTGAAAAAAAATCTTTGGCCTGTCTCATTGTAGACAGATTAAGCTAAAAAGGTGAATGGGTTAAGTGGAAAAATTATTCATTATTGCCATTAATGTGAATAGATAAGTATGCATTATGATCTGATGATTTAGATTCAAAATATTTTTGATAAAGCATACATAATAGATATTGCAAATGCTGCATATATTACAGCATTTTGATAATTGCCATTCCATTTAATTACATATGTCATTAGTACATAAATATAGGTCTCAAAACAAAGCTACACAATGCTACTTATAAGTTCAACACAAAATAGATAGTTTTTTTAATTTAAAGCAGAATCAGACTCCATCAGTATAATATAAAGTTGTAGTTACAATGGCATGTACAAGGGGAATATTTATTAGCAACAATGATTTATATTTGACTGAACTAAACTGTTAACATAATTTTATCATTATTTATATCCTATTAACTTAGAAGAGAAATAGCTAACTTTAAAAAAATGAGACAGTGTCTTTCCTATACCTATATCACTCTGCCCAGTTTTTCATAAAATTAGAAATATATATCATAGCTTTGTAATGACTACTGGCCTTGATAACTTTGACCTGGACCTCTTGCGGACAACATTATGTTAGAACGTGGATAACTTTGACCTGAACTTATCAAGTCATCTTTCAGTTTGTTTAAGTGAAACAAAGTAAAGCTATTGTTTATATACATGCATCATGAAAAATGCACAAATACAATCTGATAAACTGATAATTACAGGTTTCCATGATATTGATATTGTAAAATATCTGATTCTTGACACAATCAGAAGCCTTTTTTTAACTGTTAGCTGTGCTCATTCTACTAAGTACTTATGTAGTGTCTGGCAGCTGGTACTTTACAACATCAATATGATTACCTGATAATCTGCAGTACTTAGCAGTTTATTTTAATATGATTGTTATTTTTAGTAATGTCTAGGCTTCTTACACATCTAACAGCCTTTTTAGGGACTCTGAGGGGCAACGCAAGTCCTTAAAAAAACTGTTTGATACCAGAGCAATAGTAAACTAGTCATTGATAGTAAATCTTTAACGAATGTTGTTTCTAGTATATTTATGTAAGTATTAGTATAACACAGAAAAACAGGAAAAAACTTGAAATTTAAAGGGGAAAAATAATGGATTTTGGAAAAAAAAAGGGGAGGACCAAAAAAAAATTATCCTGTCCCCCAAGTACCTATGAACGTTACATCCCTTATGGAGTTTGATAAAAGTTATCTTTTGCTATCACACTATGTCATACTCTCTATTCAACCTTTATAATACCAGTTTGATAATTAATCAGTATATGATTTTTTTTATTCTTTTTTTACAGACAACAACAGAGATGTTAAGAGAAGTAATCAAAGACAGTAAAAAGAATATGGAATCCAGTAATGGTATTTTTTCACAAGTGAAAATTCTTGTCGTATCACATGACATTCCAGAGCGACTCTACCAGAATTGGATGTTTAAAACACTTGAAATACAGTCTGCTAGACTTGACTCTTATGACAGTTCAGAATCTACAGATAAGATTGTGTTAGATTGTCTCATACAACTACTCAAACTAGGAAACCATGTAGCTAAAATCCCCAAAGTAAGTCATTATGCTAAAAAGATAAAAAGAGTGCTCTATTGCTATAATAGACTTCAAATAACAATATTTTAAGTGACAAAAGTAAAAGTATAAAATACATACACACAATTAAACTAAAAAACATACAGTTCTTGAAGCCTCCTCTTAAGTAAGCAAATAACCTTTTTTGATGTATTAATTCATCACTACATGCTTCAACGCTCAAAAGCATTTAGATCACAACAATAAAATATTTGTACTAAGCTGCAAAATACCTTTGCAAAAGATACTTTTTTGAATGGAATTGTAATATGTATAATGGACATCCTTATGTGAAATGAAGAGTGGTGTATCATGGATAAATTTCACAGGCACTTACTATTTTAAAGTTGTAAAATATTTACTGGTAATCATAATGACCAATTTCAACATTTTTAAATTGAACATGTACAGTTCAAGTAAAAAAAATGTCTACATGACAGCTTTTCATATATTGCTGTAAAATCATCATGCCTTATATGTATAGTATCAACTCTAATGAGATTACACTTAAATAATAGTCAGTACTATGATATATGCATATTATCACCTTGACTTATAATCACACTTAAATAGCAGTTAGTAATATAATATATGCATATTATCATGTTTTACTGATATTCACTGTTTAATAGCAGTTTAATAGCAGTACATACTATATGTACTATATGTAACATACATCCTATAATGATTATAAACCAAAGCCATGGATGAAACATAGTGTCATAACATATCTTAATACATGAGCAACTCAGTGCATTTCCATTGTGAACAAACATCAATTTGTTAATACTGTATTCTATGCATTTCTTTTAAACATGAAGTATTATTCATAGCTTTTAAAGTATATTTAGGCAATCTATGTCAAAGTTCTAAATATAACTTTATGCTTGAACTTTGAAAAATGGATATTATGCATTTAAAGCTTTCTTGTGCTCTTAAATCATGCTCCCAATTTTTAATGGTAAGATAGATGTTTAGTTAATCTATACTTTTCAGGCATTTAAAAAACTTCTATTCTGTAGCATTTTTTTATTCGGCAATTGTCAACAACTTTATGAATTTTAAATTCTGTAAATTCAGAAATTGTTGTGCCCATTTATTATTGTGATTTTTAAAGATTGAACAAATATGTGAGACAAATTATTGCGATTTCAGAAAAAGATACTTACAGATATATATATCAGATATCAGAATGAAGTTTCTTATTATTGCGATACTCACCCAGTCACATTTTTCGCATTAATAAAGCCTCACAATAATTTCTGAATTTACAGTAGTATATATCACACAATTCATCTAGGGAAACAATTCAATATAAAAACCTAAATTACTGTATTATTAAAAGATAACATAATTTAATTATTTATTATTCCAGGGAAATTTCAAGAATTCATTTGACCAGTTGCATTCTAAAGTTCCAGATTTACTTCCACAGCAAGGTAATATTATAAAGCTTGGACCTGAACGTAGCTGGGACATGTACATTTTTAGATTTAACCTTGTCTGCATGTCTGTACATTCAAATATTTTCACAATCTATGTAAGCGTTCTATTTTCAATTGACAGTTTATAAAAGTAACCCTATTTAACAAATCAAAATTAACTGATGACATTTTAGTCCCCCAACATAACAAATCATGCTTTAATGATTTGTAATAAAATTTTAAGCCTATATCGGTTCGTCCGTCCATCCTTCTGTCTGTCTGTCAAATTTTTGTAATAGCAAAAACTACAAAACTATTGGCAGAATATCGATGAAAATTTTTGCATTTATTGTGCATAATATGTAGATATATTTTTGTGTGAAAATTGGCCAATAAATTTTTGGACAATTTTTTTTTTAAAAATCACAAATTTTAATGAATACATTTTGTCAAAAAAACAAAAACTCCCAAAGTATGGGTAGGACATAGATGAAAATTTGTACAGTTGTTTTGCATAATATGTATTGGGATTTTTGTGTAAATTTGAAAATTAACTTTGGTAAAAACTTAGTAAAAAAAAATCATAAATTTTAATAAAAACATTGTTTTGTTCTAGGATTTAAATGAAAACTACTGCATTGGTATGAGTTGCTACTCTAAATTGATTCCTGGTGTCATACATTAATTTTTATGAATAGTGGATGGGAGGAGAGGTGGAATTGTGGTGCAAAACAAGTCATTAGGAAAAACTTAGTTTATTTAAAAAAATTAAGGATAAACATCTATTTGTGCTAGGATTTCAATGAAAATGAAAATATAGATATATATAATACCTGTTTCAAATTGATTCCTGGTGACAACAATTGATTTTTTTTTAAACTGAAAAGTTTAAGGTATAATTGATTTCTTGTGTCAAAAATTATCTGTCTGTCTACTTTTTTTTTTTATTAATAATACATAAAAGCAATCATAGCTTGGATTCTAATGAAACTTGATATTTACTTGGAACATATCCTGATTTTTTTCCTGCTGTCAAAATTTATGAAATTTGAAAACATATTAAATAAATTTTACTTTGTGTGCATCAGTATTAATTATTTGTTTCTGTGCTTCACACAAAAAAGTGGGGCTCACCTGACAAAGTAAGTTTTCTAGTTGTGTAGAAAAATATGATGGTATATCTGTATTAATTAAATACAACATTTCATTGTTCAAATTTTTTACTTTCTTGTGTTTTTGCTCTAGGTGATATTTAACCTTACCAACAAATTAGTATCCAGACATTTCTGAGTATCCACACTTTTTTCTCTCTGTTACAGCAATGCTACACTTCTTACTGGAGGAAGATGACTGTTCTATGATGACAGTAAAAGAATATTTGAACATGTATGAACAACCATATGATGTTGTATTAGATAGTGGTGAGTACTTTATGTATAATGATGTCATTCTTATGACATTTGGTAGATAATGATGCAATATATAAGCCAACCTAAAATCACCATATTTTCATTTTGAATGATGATATTATTGTACTAAAGATTGGTTTGAATGTAAAAGGATATATCTTTCAGTTTTTTTTTAATGTTGATTTTAGGTAATGAAAAAGCTGTTTAAACATTGATGAACATTTGGTCTTTTTTAATGTATTTACATTGTTATCTTGAAATAGTATTGAAGTTGACCATTATATATGAAACCAAATAAAGGCCTTAGGAGTAAAAAAAACTGTAAATTTGAAATCCAATTAGCCAATATTTATAAAAAATGAGTTAACAATAGAAACATGTATGATGGGATTAAAGTATTAATCTAAAAGGAATCATATCTGTATAAATTATTTCATATTGCTTCAATAAGCTGTTTTTAATCAAGATTAATGACTCCCAAACATAACAACCAAAGCAAAATATATTATATTTGGATTTTTTTTTATCCTACACATTGTATCACATATATTTATATATTTATACATGTGTTATTTTGGATTTAGATTTTATCGTGCATTGTGTTTTATTATGTGTTTGACTTTGTTTTTATGTTTATTTACAAAATCATTTATCAACAAATATTCATGATAAGACAAACAAACTATGTAAAAACATTGATTATTATATATAATTTATTAGCTAAATTTTCAACACAATCAACAGAAATAAGAAACTGTTAAGATGGAAAAAAAATTTAGACAAAAAGAGATTTCTTTTGAGGCATAACATTTCATTTAGTAATATTTAAAGTGTTTATATGATTTTGCACTACACTAAGCAAATATATAACTTCTTTGTAAAGAGTGTACAATGGTCTCTTGTATATAGACCACTTTCACATTCTTGCATTTTCCTGTACATTTCATATGTTACAATGCTTAAGTTGTCAACTGGCATAACTCATTCATAAAAGGACACTGAATTGGTCTATATTTCAACACTGATGGACCTTAGATTGATGAGAGACCCATGGTATTCATTACTCCTAGATTCATAGGAGGAACAAGGTCAAATCTGTAAACATTGCTTATATCTATATCTAATTATAGTATTAATGTATTGTCTTTTTTTGTTTTATTACAAACAGAAGGTAAACAAATGATTGCACATCCCACACATAGTCGAATGTTTACACTTATTGTAAAGTACTAACATTAACTTGTATCACTAACACGTAGTATTTGTAGGTAGAAAAAAAAACATTTCGCTATTGTTTATTCCATTTAAATTAAACAATATATGTAAAAAACTAAGAACTAAGTGAAGAAATACACTTCATATACATTTACTACACAAACCGAATTTAGTGTAATCACAAAGTATCAAATCTATGAATATTATGTACCGTAAGGTATATACTTTTTACCCCTGAAACATTTGTAAATATTTCATTAAATTTGTATATACCTAGTAAGAAGATGTAGTCAGTATTCTTTTTCTAACAGAAATTATATGCCTCAGGTGCTTATTATATGTTACTGCTATATATAGTTCTACAGTAGGATTTCTGGTAAACAAAAAAAAAGAAATACAAATAACTCGTCTTTGGAACGTTGAAAAATCTATATTTTTCTTTATATTCTTGTTCAGTAATCAAATTGATATAGTTACTTCGGAAAGGAAAAGTCTAGAATTGTTTAAGATTTTATATATAGTACTATGTAAATTAAAATGATAAGCATAACCGTATTGTCTCAGTCCCTGGTTAGTAATGATTTTATTAACACAAAAATGTGACAATTTGTGTATTATGTATCACATTATTCTGATTCAGGCAGTGATAGCATTATTTGTATGTAGCAATAGCAATTACTTAACCATAATTTGTTGTCCATTGATCAACAATCTCATTGATAACTATGATAACAAAAATGTGTTCATCTACATGACCTAGAAAAATGCATGTTACATGGAATTTTTGAAAATTTAGCAATATTTGCTATGCAGTTCAACCAATGTGTGCAGGACATTTATGTAGTAGTTATTTTCTTTAATTTCTTTGTCCATATTAATTATATTATCATAAACAAGAAATTCCCTAAGATCTAAAGATCTATTAATTAACTGGAAAATATATATAGATCTTGAAAAAGAACTGTCTTTTTATAGCAGCAGGTAATCAACAAATAGAAAATTAAAGATAATTCCATAAGCAGTACTAGTTGCCTTCTCGAAGCATTATAAATGATGTCTGAATACATCAGATCTACTCAAGGGTCCTCGGTGGCTGAGTGTTCTCAGCAGTCGAACTACTGTATCACTAGCCTGTCAACACTGAGGTTGTGAGTTTGAATCACGCATGTAACTCCATTGACTCCAATCTTAATTGACAAGGATTGTCAGTTTTCCTACAGAAGGTCGTGGTTCTCTCCAGGTACTCCGGCTTCCTCCACCAATAAAAACCAACCTCCAAGAAATAGCACAATAGTGCTGAAAGTGGTGTTAAACACCAATCTATCAATCAATCAATCAGATCTACTCAGTAAATATCATATCCCATCATTTCCTGTTTTTAGAATTTGCATAATGAACTTTTCATTATTAATGGCAATTATTGATGTAATATGAAAATTATATGGATATTTGTGATTTATTGCAGTTTTCATGCCAGTGATATAGTTAAAGCAAACGAATAAAGATAATGAAATAAGAAATGTTCAATCTGAATTAGGCTTATCAGCTAAAGCTGTGTTTATTTCTGTTTTTAGCTAACTTGAGTGCTAAATACATTTTATCTAGTGGAATAGGAAACCCACAGTCAATACGAAGCTTCTGTCAGACAATTTACTTGATAAAGTTCCTGAAAGAATATTAAATTTAACTGTAAATAAATTGATATTGAAAGCAAGTGACCATCTTTGGTTACTATTGAAACCATTTGAAACATAAAACATTAACTTATCTTGTATTTTAAAGATAAAAGATGAGAGCATTTATGAAAAAACTAGTAAAATATCAAAACAGACTATGAATATGGTATAAAATAAATACTATCCAAAACCAAATATGATTGCCTGTCTAAAAAAGAATTAACTGTTACAAAACTTGTTGAGGATAAGTATTATTATAAATCAGACATAACAGCAGTGATCTCCCTTTTTAATGTACTCACTTTTATGTTGCAGTGATTGAAGGACATGAAGTGCCATACTGAACCCACAATATTGTATATGTAAATTACATTACCATAATAATGAGAGAAATATTAATAGTTTGATTTCCATCTCACATACTGACTTTAATTTAATGAACTAATTATTTCAAAAGTTGAAAATGCATTGTTTATGCAAAAATATATTCTATATGAAAATAATAGGATGTGGCAATTATTTTGCAACATATCAACACGTTTTATTAGATAGACTTATATGATATGAATATTTTTAATGTCTCAGTACATAAAAAAGGTTCAAAATTAAGACTCCAAAGGTTTGTATGTACTGTTAAATAAGCATGTTAAAAGTGTGAGAGAGATTTTTTTTTAATAAAATGACTTTTTAAATCAGAAGTTGATCCATTCCTATACATAAAGAGAGCTATCTTCTATACTAGTAAGCTTCTTCAAAGACCAAAGTTAAATTGATATTAGAAAAGATGTTTACCATATGATCAAATACTGACAAGATTGTCAGAAGAGAAGGATTGACAATAAAGGCAGATATCCAAAGTGAAATAGAAAAAAAATTTAATAAAATCAGGAACCAGGCAAGACAAATTTATTTTTTGGGGGTATATAAAATTTGGAGTCTTTTGTTTGGGAACTTTCTGAAGAAACATTGGAAACTTTGATAAGAAACCTGAAAAGAGGTTCAAGATGTAAAAGTTAGGATAAATGGATGGAGGTTTTTATGTCCAACAGATCATCCCTCAAACATATTCACCACGAGAAAATTTTAATGGTGTATAAATATGAACCACCTACTCAGGACGTGGCATAGATCACAAGACAACAGTCCTCAAGAAAATGATGTCACTTTTCCTGGATGCAATATTCTTATTTCAAGTTGACCAATCTTACTGCTGAATGTTGCATGCTTGGCAGAGTATTAATAATCTATTTAAAGTCTCTGGTCTGACCTAGCTGTCATTGAACACAAAACCTCTGACATTTGAAATATGAGTAAAGGAAGTAGAAACTCAATATGCTTTAAACAAGTTTTAGGTTATCTATTAGTAATCTGTTTTCTATATTTTAATTTCAAGCTAAATAGAAGTTATATTCTATCCTATTTAAGGCTGTTTGTGGGAGAAAGTTTTTACACAGGTTGAAATTCATTGTTTAAGACTGCATAAAAAGTCAGAGCAAAACCTTTAATTTTACAGTCTTTAATACTGTAAATTCAAAAATGTTTGTGCAAAAAATTGTGACGGAATATGTTTCTCAAAAAAAAAACTTGCATGCAAGAAGTTACTGAGAAAATGAAAGAAAAGCAGCATGTTGAAATATGATTTATTAATTGTAGTATATTAATAAGGAATTCTGACATTTATGAAATGCATGATCTTTAATCAAGACTAGATAGTTGTCCTGCTTTCACATTACACTTTATAGATATACATATGCATCAATTAAAAAACAAACAATGATATTTGTATCATGTGTAAACCAGTAAATTTTCAGTTCAGTCATAGATTGCATGGAGAGACTATACCATTTAAAACTTTCTAACAAACTCATTTATGATACTAATGAAATGAAGAAGATGTATTCAAAGTTACTTTTAAATAAAATTTAAGAAAACTATTTTTTCTGACATTTTTGTACTATTGACATAAATATTAATAAAGAGAGTCCTTTTTTATGTACTTGTATATAATAAAGTATATATAGGATATGGCTTTTTCCATATTACACACTGTATCAACCCTCAACCAATATAATACCTCCAGCAGAGCTCGTTGGATTATATTGGCGTCTAGGGTTGCTTCGGGTGCGATTGAAAAAGCCATATGATATTCTTTACATCTTTTTTATTGTTATACTGAGAACCTCTCTAGTGTATCGCAAAGGAGAGAAAGTATGTAATGCAATATTGATCAAGATGCAATATTTTTAACTCATTAGAAATTTTCTGCTGTTCAGGTATATTTTGAAAGGAAAACCAGTAAACATTTCAGCAAATGTTGCATTTTTATTTTACGAAGAAATCAAAATGAAATATTTGATACTACATGTATATTATAATGTATGATATAGCTTTTATTGCCTATATTAGTTGGTATGCTAAATAAGACTCTACAGTTTTATATGTTGTTCTTCTTTAAGATTTTTATTTTATTAACTATACTTCGACCATTTGGTTTATATTGATGATTATTATTTTATGATTTCACAAAAAAGGATATAATATTGCAGAACTAGGTCAGATATAATTGAGAATAAATACCAAACGTACTGGTGTTCATATTATAAAAGTTCATTAATTTATCTTTTCTTTCTTTTTTTCAGAACTAGTGTGGCCACTTCCAACAAGACTGTTCCCATACAACTAACATAAAATTGAAAATGTTCATCATGAATCTGTGATAATGCTGCCGTCCAGTCATAGAAATCTTTGTAAACTTTATTCAAAGTGACGATAAATAGATGATAAACTTCTAAATTAAAAACTTGTTATTCTATAGAATGCAGTTTTTGGAATCATTAATGTGTTAAGTGTTTGGAACAAAAGAAACTTGTCAAAATGACATGAAGTATTCATCAGTTTCTCTGTTTTGACAGGATTACTTTGATATGAAAAAATACCACAATTTATGCACTCATTTCATACTACAGGCAAGACGTTTTACCTTTATAAAGTGTAATATTTATTGAGAAAGAAGTACCAATTTGAAAGTAATTTCTTCTTTGCTCTTCATCCTATAATGTATAAACTCATTTGTAGGATTAACTAATAAGTTGGTAGGCTTTTTCAGCTCAAAATTCCACAATTCAGTTCTGACCTTCTATAAGTTGGTATTTTAAAGAATGATTCCTTCTCTGCACTTAATTGTATAAGTTAAGCATATTTAATGTTGTTAAAGGGATACCTTTGTATTTGTATACATATTTTTTTTAAAATAAAACACTTTATTTCATGATTTGTTTTATCAATTGTAAAGTCATTTGAAATGTAAGAGAGTCATTTTTAGCCGGTTTGGACAAAGACTAAAACGGGTATATTGTATGGTGATGTCAGGTACATGTTAGTAGCTGGTTAGATAGGTGGGGAAAAGTGGGTACCTAATTTGTGTAATCAACTCCTCCTACAGTTTCCAACCCAGATCCCTGAAATTTCACAGCAAGATTGCACATTTGTTGAAGTTGTGCACCAGCTATTATGGAATTGTTTGAGGATTTTTATGCCCCACCTATGATAGTAGAGGGGCATTATGCTTTTCGGTCTGTGCGTCTGTTCGTTTGTTCGTTCGTCTGTCTGTTTGTCTGTCTGTCCCGCTTCAGGTTAAAGTTTTTGGTCAAGGTAGTTTTTGATGAAGTTGAAGTCCAATCAACTTGAAACTTAGTACACATGTTCCCTATGATATGATCTTTCTAATTTTATTGCCAAATTAGAGTTTTTACCCCAATTTCACGGTCCACCGAACATAGAAAATGATAGTGCGAGTGGGGCATCCTTGTAATATGGACACATTCTTCTTTTCTCATTTTTTCAGTCTCTGGAAATTATGTCTTTTTTCAGCAAAATTTATGAAAGAGCTAGCTAGGGTACAAGTTATGTTTAATCAACTACTAATGTTACATGTTTTTTTATTTGAGATCCTGTAGCCATTATTTAAAAATTGATGTTGAATTCAAATGTCAAGGTCATTTTTATACGACCGCAAAAAAATTTTGCGGCCGTATATTGGTATGACGTTGGCATTGTCGTCGTCGTCGTCGTCATCGTCATCCGTAGACACATTGGTTTTCGCACTCTAACTTTAGTTTAAGTGAATGGATCTCTATGAAATTTTACGATAAGGTTCAATACCACAAATGGAAGGTTGGGATTGATTTTGGGGGTTATGGTACCAACAGTTAAGGAATTAGGGGCCAAAAAGGGGCCAAAAATAAACATTTTTGTAACTTCCAGACATAACATGTGTGTTAGTGTATGGATCTCTCTGACATTGTACCACAAGGTTCCATATCACAAAGGGAAAGCTGGGTTTGAGTTTGGAGGTAATTGCCTTAAATTTTTAGGAATTTGGGGTCAAAAAGGGGCCAAAAAACAAGCATTTTTCTAGTTTCCAGACAATAACTTGTGTTCAAGTGTATGGATCTCTCTGAAATTGTACTGCAAGGTACCATACCACAAAGGGAAGGCTGGGATTGAGTTTGGGGGTGATGAATCATAAGGGGGTTCAAAAATTTGGGCGGGGGGATTTTTTTTTCCTTTTTTTCCTTTTTTTTCTTTATAATTTTCCATTTTAAATTGGTTATTTCTGATTTATATATAAAAGCAAATAATAATGATATGGTTTGAATAGGTAAATTAAATTTTTTTAAGTTCTTAGACCACATTCATTCTGTGTCAGAAACCTATGCTGTGTCAAACATTTAATCACAATCCAAATTCAGAGCTGTATCAAGCTTGAATGTTGTGTCCATACTTGCCCCAACTGTTCAGGGTTCGACCTCTGCGGTCGTATCAAGCTGCGCCCAGCGGAGCATTTTATTAAATTTTTACCTTTGCTTGCTATCATATCTCCCCTGAAAGTATATATGTGATAAAAGATAGATATAAAAAAGACTGTTTATTGTAAAAGTGTTTGTACTATTGAAAGAAATGTATGGTGCATTAGGCCCGAAGCGAACCCATGACATCTTATAGATGAATCTTATGATTATATAAAGAAAAGATTTGTTGAAAGCCATTGGGATATCTGTATAATATTAAGAGATATATGACCTTGAAAAAGGTAAACCGAGAGTAACCTTGAAGAACCTCGGAAGTAGTTGTTTTGCACTTATTTCAGGGAAAAGTGCAAAGTAATAAATTTACTTTCAGAATCAGTGTATGAAAGTAAGTTATCTTTGGCATTGAAAGGGACATAGAGAAGTAGCTAATTATCTCCCTCATTTCATAGAAAAGTTCTTAGAAATCATATGGTTTTAGGAAGCAGTATTAAAAAACAATGCCACTGGAAGTATCTTATTATCTCCCTTTTTCAAGTAAAAGTACATAGAAACTATATGTTTTTAGGAATCAGTGTTAAGTTAAAAATCACATCACACCAAACTCAGTTACCAAAGTGATGTTAAGCAAAGGTTAAAATCAGAACATGACCTTGACCTTGACATCAATTTTCAAATAATGGCTTAACGATATTAAATCAACTTCCCTAATTTTTTTTTAAAACTTCTCCAAGTTTTATTATTTTGAAATCAGTGTAAGGAACACTAGCTTTTGCTATCGAAAGTGACTTTTTAAAGTAGAAGATATAGTTTTACCTTCATTTTCTTGTCAACAGAAGACAAAATACCTTCAATTGTTCTCTGAATAATAGGTTTTTAATTAATTCATGCATTTTCTGTTATTTAATAAATTGTAAATACTTCTTGAAATAAGATTTCCTTTGCAACTGAATTTTTAATATTTCTTTGATAATTCCGATAGTTCCAAAGCAGCGGACCTAATCTACTTGGATCAAAGAATTTCTCTCCAATTTAACTTAATTCTATGACAAATGACGATCAACTGGCTGAGCTTCTCGATAAACCGAATGATACTTCTGTCGTGGCTGCTGTACTATCTATGAAATTGATTAATTAGTCATTTATGAAGCTTTGTATCAGAAAATATTTTAAATGAGATTGCAAAAAGCTGTATTTGTCAACTATTCATATCGTTGCCTGGTGAAAATGTCTTTCAAAGATTTAGTCGATTATTGATTCGTCTTTAATAACTAATCACTAACGAAATCCTTGATTTGTCTATATAACAGACAGATGATGGGAATTATTTGATTGTCATAATTACTAATATTGTAAACCTCAGTAATTGGCAGAAAATACATACCATAGTAACGGATTTTAAGTAAAAGGTTTCTACGAAGAATAGCTGTTTATATTTTATGAATATCTGTTGACGTAAAATACGTTGAACATGAATTGAAGAACTTGGTCGTGAACCTTGGAGGACTTTGACAGATGCATTCATTTTGAATCGGTAGACATGGGATTAATTTGTTGTAAAACTTCATTTAAAACAAGTGATTATTTAGGTCCTGGAGGAAAATCTTTAACAGGAGCTTTCTTGGCCAATATTGGTGAAATACATTCATCTTTCGTGTTTGGAGTGGAAGATAAAACACAGACACAAAACAATGAATCATCGAAGCACCATATACAGTATGACGATACTATCCTTACATTAAACCACACTTCTGCCAACCAACATCGGTTCCATCGTTCACTGCAGCGATTAAATTCATCAAACATGCCACCTATAGAAGTTTAGTGTGAACATATGCCTTAAAAGGTTAATATGGTGCATTTCTGGAATTAGTAACAGGAACGAAAATTCATGTTCATAACCTAATGTTTAGCATGTATGTACACTTCAGACATTTTTTTAAAACATTCTGTAATTTTTTTCATAAATAATTTGGACGGTGGTTTTTTTAAGTTTTTTTTTAACATATAAATCAAAGAAATAGAAACATGTTTGTTTACAAGAAGTTCTGATTGTCCAACACTGAGAGTGACAGAAATTATGCCTGTCTCCATCGAAAAACTTTGCTAATTATTTTTGTACCAAATCTCTATCGCTGATTTTTTTAATTTCATATATAAAAATACAGAAATGGGGCATAATCGCGATGACACAACTATCGAAAAATACCAACATCACAAGAATGTAGTTATCTTCACGTCTTGATAGATAACCACAAGGCCTTTAAAAATAGACAAAGACAAATAAGTTAAGTAATACAAATCATGGGGTAAATCAAATTTGAAATAATCAAAATATACTACCAAATTATGACATAAAGCAAAGAAACGAGTTTATGCAGAAGGATGCGATAAGCACTAAGCTTCGGAAAGATGCATTAAGCATGTGGCAAGGTCATGAGAGCTTTGAATTTACTCTTTCCTAGTACAGTTGTGTAACAGCAAACCAGTGCAACAAACTGTTAAAATCGGTAATACCTCCATATAAACATCCTGAACACAATGCCAGGAGATCGAGGAAATTCCAAATCTCAAGAACTATGTAAATAAACTAGGATACATTCCCTTATATCTAATTTTATGATTTGCTATTTGGGCTGCAAATTCCCCGGTAAAAGTTGGCCTTTGATGTTTTTTTCTATCTCTTAGCGTTACTTGTGGTTCATCTAGAAATACACATCAAACACAATTCATATTGGTATTTCACTTTGATTTCCTTGGTTTAATCTATCTTGTGTGTTTTATACGGGTACTCTACGTAACCAATTATATATTCAGGGTCTGATTGATATGAGCGAGATCACTTGTGTTCAGATATTTACATTATTGACATTCTTATGGACCAATTGATGGATATGTTTGGTACAAAAGAGAGGCGAAAGATCCAAAGATATTCAATCTCATAAATTGAAATAAAACTGACAATACCATCGCGAAAAACGACGAAAAGACTCACAACAGTACACAAACACAACATAGAAAACTAAAGGCTGAGCATCAGTACACAAAACACAACATAGAAAACTAAAGACTGAGCAACAGTACACAAAACACAACATAGAAAACTAAAGACTGAGCAACACAAACCTCACCAAAAAACTGTGGTGATCTCGGGTGTTTAGGAATGGTAGGAAGATCCTGCTCCACTTGTTGCACCCATCGTGTTGCTCATCTAAGTACAAAGTCGGTGATAAGACTAATTAAGTAGGTCACATTCGAGATAAAGAGGATGGGATTGTGGTTACAACAGTTAGAGCATATCTGTCGTCATCTGCTCATAATGGCGTCCGTAAAATTTCGAAGGGATGATTTCAAATTCACCACTTTGTCGTAAAGTTTAGTTCTCAACCAACCCTCATTGTCAATTTCTAGATGTAAGTAAAGGTATGAGGCAGCCTTAACTGTATATGTTGTATCCTTTATTTTAAGTTCGATGGGATAGATGCGTTCAACATAGTCACCAAATTTTGATTTATTTAGTAGGAGTATATCCTCTATCATTCTTCCTAAGAAGCTCCTGTATGAAGTCAGCCTTATATGAATAAGGGAACAAGTCGACAAGAAGAGGAGCACAGTAGGTTCCCATGGAAATGCCGATTGTTTGTTGAAAAACACGTCTTCCAAAAGTAAGAGAAGAATTATTTCAACAACTATTGCGATTAAGAATTTTTAATCAGAATTAAGATATCGACTGAAAGTCAATGCAAACTGCAACATGTCGTTTAACTGAAATAGACAACTACGTATTGCTATATGGTTTTTTTTCACTTCAGACATACACAAAGGACATACCATATATACACATCTGAAAATGTTACTATGTCAGTGACAAGATTTATTAGTACTTGTTTTGAAATAAGAGAAAATTTGCATTCCAGAAACTAAATATATATATACTAGTGATGAAGTTTATTTTTTTATGTATAAGAGAGGGTTAATATTATATTTTTTTTAATTTTCAAACACCATCTGGTATGGAGTATAGTTATTTAATCATTTATTTTTAATGTAATATATCTTAAAAATTACTGTATAATTAATACTATACATATATGTATATGCTCGGAAACGGGCCCTTTAATTGGATTCAATAAATATTCTTATTCTGATTCCTATTCTTCTTATACCAGTCTACAACTTGTAGTATAGTTGTAACGTCCTTTTCAGTTTTTCGATGAATATATGCATAATATACAATGAACGATGCACGAAGAATTTAAATACAACTAGATGACACGTTTCTAATTTGCATAAAATAATTCAATCTATTATTCATTTATCTATTTATTTTTTTCGCTTTTAGGATGGTCTGAATTTTATTCCTTGTAAAAGATAGACAGAAGATACCAATGAGATAATCAATCTTCGAAAAAAAGAACTGATAATGCTATGGCAAAAAAAACCCAAAAAAAATACCAAAAGACAAAAATAACAGAATACAAAACACAACATAGAAAACTGAAGACTAAGCAACATGAACCCCACAATTCGGGGTGGTCAAGTGTGCTCTGAAAGGGTAAACAGATCCAGATGTGACATGCTTATTATGAAGTTACAAAGCAAATCATAAGATAAGTCATAAGATACTGGCAGTTACAAAACATATTTATATAGCTGACTATGTGGTATGGGTTTTGCTCATTGTTGAAGGCCGTGCGGTGACCTATATAGTTGCTAATTTTGGTCTTTTGTGGAGAGTTAGTCTCATTGGCAATCATACCACATCTTCTTATTTTTATTTTGAAATATAAAAGTTTCGCCACTAAATTCCTACTGAAGCATGAGTTCGGCGTGTATTATTTTCTCTAACTTTTTCACTTTTAAAAAAAATAATTGAGTTTGATATTCGAGGGGGGGGGGGGGGGGGGGTCCAGATTAATCATATAGTTTCACCTGTTACTACCCTTGCTTATTTATTTTCACTTTTGTACACATTTGTTTTTTCACTTAGTTTTGCAGAATATTCATGTTCATCCTGTCGAATGCAAAGATATTTAGTTTTGCAGAATATTCATGTTCATCCTGTCGAATGCAAAGATATTTATTTTCAGTTCTTAACAGGTCAATTTATTTATTTTCAACCCTCCCTGGCCCAGAAAATCAAATTTTCGTCCCCTAATATTGGAAACGTACAATTCTTTTTAGTGTAGAAAAACGAAAAAAAAACTTTTTAAAGCTATCCCTCTTCTTGCAAGGTGTTCGAATTTTGGGCAAAATGTATGAGCTTACATGATTGGCGGTTATAATAAGTTGAGATAACGATTATATTTTTTTTCTTGTCGTGTCACCTGCGGGGCTCCGTACATTCAACCAATAAATGTGACACCAAATCAATAGAATTTCAAAAACAATAATTTCATTTTTCTTAAACTTTGACCTTATAAGACAAAAACAAATGATTATAAATATTGTAATAATATTTGTAAAAAATAATGCAACAGATTTAAGAATTAATTTACTTTATTTCTAATAGAAAACAATACAGCTTAGCTTATACGTATACTAGTGTCATTGAATATATGCATATAAATTACTGCAAAACAATTTTGATACAACTGGAGACAAGAATATTACATATTACAGTGGCGTATTGAGAATATATTCCTAATTAGACAATATTTTTTACATTCTATGTTAACGGTGAATAAACAATTTAAAAACAGATGCAATTGTATAATAATACCTTTTAGTATACTGTAACGATTCTATTTGTTAGCATATTTGATCATTTTTGAAGGAAAATAAAATTCATTCTCAATATCACCTTAATTACATTTTTTTTCCCCGTCTTTACAGCGTATAATATTAAGCTTGTATGATTGTGAATTGATACATGGTTAAAAATCTCACAAACTGTCGTGATATGCTTTTTATCAAATAAAACTGCAATGTCTATGTGAATCATCAACTTAAATTATTGTAATTATAATTAATAATAGTTATAAGTTAGGCCGTTAGCTTTTTCGTTTGAAGTGTTTCCCATTTTTCATGGCCTATAAAATTTTATAAATCATATTACGTCCCAGGTTACAATGATCATACATGTCATCATGTACACCTCTAAAACATATAAAGGACAACACAATCATAATGATCATATGATATCATACTAATTCAATGAAGACATAATGTAGTTGCTATATGATACAAAAAAGGATGGTCTGAATTGGGTTAATTTAAATACTTAATAGTAACTTTCATTTATATGTTTTGGAGTTTAGTGTGACGTCCATTTTCATTGAACGAGTACACATTTTGTTTAGGGGCCAGCTGAAGCCCGCCTCCGGGTGCGGGATTTTCTCTGTGTTGAAGACCCATTGGTGGCCGTCGGCTGTTATCTGCTGTTTGGTCGGGTTGTTGTCTCTTTGACACATTCCCCATTTCCATTCTCAATTTTATTAAATCATGATATACAGATAACGCAAAACTTTCAAACAACACCGCAATAAAACCGAACAACCTAGTAAATAGGTTTGCAAAAATTCAGTTAAGGTTCAAGGATCTAGATATAGAACTATATAAAACGAGTTGATTTCACAAGATACGTACTGTCTTTAATAAATTTTTGTGAAAAATGACTAAGCTCGTAACTATGGAAAATGAAGAAAACAAATCCTCAAACAATTCCATGAATAGCAGGTGCAAAATTTAAATAGGTTTGTAATATATCTGTGAAGTTTCAAGGATCTGGGTTGAAAACTGTAGGAGGAGTGAACAACACAAAATGGATATCTATTTTGTTAATTTAGCTGAAAAAAATATTAAGTTCCCAAGTCTTTTAAAAATAAATCCCCTAACAATTCCATTATAGCAAGTTAAAAAATCAATAGGTGTGCACTATATCTGTGAATTTTAATGGATATTGGCTGAAAACTGCAGGAGGGCTTGATTGCATAAATTAGTTACCTACTTTTCCCCCACCAGCCTGCCCATCCGCCCGATATCACCATACTATGAGCCGTGTTCGAACTTCGTTCAACCGTAAAACAATCTATAATTGAGGTTTCGAAATAAATTTTAATCTCCTTATGGTTATCGATCTACACAAACTATTGAGTTTTTTTACCTTAATTGATACCTTTTTTAATGTTCTCTACTGACAAGTTTCCCATTGGTTAGCATGTTCTTTATTTCAAGTGCTATTTTTCTGTTTATTTTAGCTGAAAATAATGCTAATCAATAGTTTATTATTATCATCATTTCCAAGTTATTTCATTTTATCTAACAAGTTCTTGCGCAAATTTATACAGTTTTTAAAAAAGACAGCAGTAAATATGTGGCACATTTCTCTAATGTTCCAGACAAGACTGAATGACAATAACTTGAAATAATAATAAAACAAAATATTGGTAAAAATCACACCGTTAATAGAAATAAAATTGAGAATGGAAATGGGGAATGTGTCAAAGAGACAACAACCCAACCAAAGAGCAGAAAACAGCCCAAGGACACCAATGGGTCTTAGAAAAACTTGATCCATGCCAAATGGCCTGTGGTTTTATCCCGTTCATGAGAAAAACTGCCAAAAACGTATTCAAGGAATAACAAATCAGAAATACGCCACTAACAATATAAGCATAAATGATGCAAAAAGAAGTTTTGTTAAGTGGGTTGTTGTAACCGACGAATTTGCTGGGTCGTACTTGGCAGTTGTCGATTTTGGTATAACGAGTGGACGTTTCGTCGTTGTTGTTTCTGGCTTTGGTGTTGTAGTGGTAGAAGTAGTAGTAGTAGTTGCTGCTGCTGTTGTTGTTGTTGTTGTTGTTGTTGTTGTTGATATTTTCGTCGTTGTCGGATTCAAAAACTTTGGTACATCGTTTAACCAGAAATTGACTCTGTCTTGAAAGAGATTAGAGCCTGTTGACATTTTTACCGACATTTTGAGAAATGCTTTGTCGTCTGGTAAATACTGTGGCCATGTTTGTGTCAGTTGGTCATCATTCGGGTTTCTAAAATATGAAGATATAATGTATTGTCATTTATTTATCATGAATGCAATTATTACCATTAAATAATAAAAAGAAAAAATATTATAAGGTCATAATCGCGTTGTTCCATTTCTACATTTAAAAATGTACGCGCATTATTCTCATAAGGAAGTGAACATTTGATTTATATGGGATTGGAAGTGATTGGGAATTCGAGATTTATTATATCACTGAATGTAGAAACTATAACTTCATTTTTATCAAGATCCTATCCTGGATCCCGAAACCAAACCAAAGATTGTTTAACAAAAGCACAATTTTGAACTTTCATTTTAATAAATAGAAACATTCTAGCACCACTTGTATATTGAGTATGAATCTCTCAGTTTTTACGATACTCCAAGACTTTCGTTTCTTGTCATTATTTCCTCTGTTTACAATGAACAATGAAACAAAAAGTTCTTTTATAGTTGAGTCGAGTTCATCTTCGAACGTTTTACGTACACCATCATAATTTGATTGACCGCTAAGGAATATCTGTGCCACTTATAACCACGAATAAAGCCTTTTTGTAGCCTTATGGCTAATCCTTTTTACCTAGATTATGAAATCACCGAATGCGATTAACACTGGATTGTAAATTGCCATAAGTCAAAATGACGGCTCCCACTACAGAGGAGTAGGAACGACTGAAGCATCCGAAGCACATTTGTTCACCCGTAGGTTTGTGTTGCTTTTGTTTTAGTTTGCAGTGTTATATTTTCTTTCAATAACATTTTTTTTTTTCTACGGCTAACAGTATATACGTGCTATATATCATGATTGGGGTGTACATTTATTTTCAACTTCGGTCATGTTTTATGGTTAACGAATTTAAAAGAAAATTTGATGCAAGCCGCAATTATATCAAATTCCAATTCCAATCTTTCAAGCCATGTGTAAAACTGTAGTTCAGTGGAAAAACACTATAAATAAACAAATCAATTGATTTATTAATTATATAGACAATTAAATATGCATACTGATAAATGTTTATTCATAATGCTCATGAATAATAACAAATATAAATAGTATCTAATAGTCGGATATGTGAAATGGAATGAAGCTTTGTTTAAAGCTTTCTATTAAATTTTTAATGACCATTCTGTCAGGGCCGTAACTACATTGAGGCAAATGAGGCAAATGCCTCATGTTTGAAATTAAAAAAAAAGTAAGTTGAAACAAAAACCTGTCTTCATAAATGTATAAAATTGTTTTCATGGCGAGTGTCTTGCAAGAAGCAAGTTCTGTTCACCCTTTGACGTCGCCCCTGTTTTTTTCGGGATCCATGCACGCTTCTCGTTTATTTTTAGTTTTCAGTGCTGATAGTCTATTGTTTGTCGTTATGTGTTGTTATCTGTTCACAGAGTTGTCTTTTGTTCATTGATTGCCCTTCTTTATGACTTTTCTCCTAGTGTTGAATTAACATTTGTAAATAAATATTTTTTTTTAAAAACTTTAGTTTTATTATATTTAAGGACCTTTTGTCTAATTTTAAAAACTACTCTAAATTGTGAATATATTTGATATCCAAGTAGCTCTCGCCCTATCGATCTCAATCGATCGATCTTAAGACTATGGCTTCAGTTGTCTAATATTCCTTGTTGTGAACGTTAATTCTCTGCTTTGCGTAGACTTAGGAAGGATCTACAATGACTAGTGTGTGGTTTTGGCAATGCTACATGCCCACCGATGTCCAGATATTTAATAATATTGTTCGAGAAAATGTGTTGAGAAGATATGATGCTACCGGAAATAGAAAAATTTGTCGTTTTTTTCATGGAAAATTAAACTTTATATTAAAGAATACAAAACTGGCTCTCTTTTCTGTAAATAAAACTAAAAAGCTGACATGGGTTAAATTAAAGTGAGACAACCCAATCTCCCGGAATCAAATCATTTAAAAAGAAAATAATGTATTGCCATATGACCTTTTACAGTGGAGAGCTAAACTTGCATTAAGTGTTCAGGCCCTAAAATAGAAAATAAAGGGATATGGAGTAAATTTGCTTGGGACAAAGTCCCACACAATACATACAAAAATGCAAATTATCAATGAACAGGGCTTTTATTCCTGCGCTGTTCTCTATCTTGACAATCGCTGAACGAATCATTCATACCTTACAACAAGGTCAAGACGGCCCCTAGTGTCGACTTAAGCGGCACTTAGAGTATTGTACTGTGAACAAATTTTAAAGTCACAAAAATATTACATCAAAGTCTAAACACAATACAAGACCAGAACAGAGAGATCCGAAATTAATCAGCCGGTATACATGTTAAAACAGCACAAAAATGTAGCAATGCGGTCTATAAGAACAGTTTTCCTGAGTCTACCCTGGGGTCTGCCCTGAGTGTACCCTTTTATTCCAGTTAGGAACTACATGTGTTATAAAAACTGAATTCACATAGTTATATCAATGATACATAGCCCTTTCTTAACTTATTTTGAAAAAAAACCAACATAATTAACAGCTATAATACGTTTTTCTGCAAGCCAAAACTCAATTAAAAAAAAACCACAGTAGCCACACACTTGACTATATGAATTACGATTTTTGCTTTATCCTACATATCGGTCTTTTGATGTCGTCCCTAAAAACTAAAAAGTCTTACATTGAATCTATATATATATTTTGCTTTGAGACTAGAATATTGTCAAAAAAATAATTAAAACAAAAACTTGCGTTTTAGATTAAAAAAGGGTTCGAGAAACGCTCAGAATGCACGATTTTGCGTCATTTTTTCTAGATCTTCTGGGGGCCTTGAGCGGCCAGACCCCTCGCCGAAAATGTTTTTCAACTCGCTCCGCTCGGCAAATATATATTTTGCCTCACTTTTATTAGAGGCTAGTTACGGCCCTGTCTGTACAGGTGAAAAAAGAGTGATAACAAAACTTATTTATGAACTAAGCACATAATGTTCAAAACGGTCGGGCTTGATCGACAGAGGCGGGATTTTCGATTTTCAACAGGATTTACAAAAAGGCTTTAATAGATTGCTTCGATCACTCCGCGCTTTCTAAACCATTGAATTTTTACTTATGATACATTTTAACAGTTACGCTGAAGGTATTAAACATTTGCTAATTAAATTTTTAAAAAGGGAATTAAGTTTCATCTTTTGCTTACACTGCCTCCAACCATTCTTAACAATTTTAAAAAGTTTAACGTATACTGGCGTGAATGTAGCGGACTAACGCCTCCTAAAATCGAAGAAAAGTAAAAATATTTCCTTCTTGTTCCACTCAACGCATTCGTTTGACTAATTATTTGCAGGGAGAGTTGATCTCCATCAATAAGTATACATATTGCATATATACTTACCCGGTGTTGATGAAATTGCTATAATATTTTATAGCAGAGTCTGAAAGAGATATAAGAAAGTCTGGAAACATATCTGGGTTATAAGTGTGTAAAGTTTTCGTTTGCAATAAGTACAACATTCCGTCAACATCGATAGTTCCATTCATCCATTCAATGCCTTGCATAAACGAATTTGCTGGCGATATCTCTGACCAAAACGAAAGATAAACTCTCTTATTTGAGTATGTTTTTACATGTGTATTCAGTAAATCTGTTACTGGTGCATATGTAAAGAAATCTCCTATTGCTCTAAGAACATTACGACTTTGCTCTAGTTCAACACTAGACGAGTACCAGTCGCATATAAAATTTTTGAGGTCGTCTATTTTTGTGGTCTGATAGAATGGAGAGATTATAGTTGGAATGTAATAATTGCACAATACAGTCTTTGGTATCTTCTGGCTTGTTTCAAAGTTATAAGTACTTTGTAGTGGTGCTAATTGTTCGTAAACATTGATAAAGTTTTCATATTCAGATAAAGTGCTCAAAACATCAACAGGAATTAGAGATTTGAAGTCGATTGTAGGTAGAATAAATTGATTGTCGACAACGGGTCCAAAATTATACCAAAAACTGTCTGAATTAAGAAAAACAATAGCACTCGCAGTTACTCCTTCTTCTAAAATTTCACTTTCAGTTTTGGACATTAAACAATCATATATTTGCTTTGAAGTAAACACCACACTGTTTTGAGATGCGTCGGGGCATAACTGATTTGCCAGAACTTGTGAATATTCTTCTGCTTCTTTCCATATAGCCCCATGTGTATTAGCAACTGTAGAGAATAGCATGATCCTTTGAAAATTTCCGACATTTAGAGGACTACTTGCTTGGAAAGTAGTAGATATTCCAGTAGATTGAAAGCCTGCTATTGTTATCCGAGAGGGATCACCACCAAATGCTTTTATATTGGACTTAACCCATTCTATTGCCATTTTCTGGTCCCATAATCCAAAATTTCCCGGAATAACAGAATCACCAGTTGAAAGGAATCCAAACACACCTAATCGAAACGCCACAACTACGTTAATCACATCACCGTACAAAACTAAATCTGACGTGGCCATAAGTCCTCTCTGACCAAACTCAAATTTTTCACCGGCAAACCAAATAACGACTGCTTTGTTAGAGGGTGTTTCGGACACCGGAACAAATAAGTCTAGTAAAAGACAGTCTTCACTTACATCTGCACTTGGAAGAAAATCGACCATCCAGTCGGAAATAACTTGGCTGCAAATTCTTCCCCCTGTTATTGTGCCGTCTATGATACCTTCCCAAGATTTCATTGGATTCGGTTTTTCGAATCTCTTTGGTGGTTCAGCATACGGAATTCCAATGAAACTTTGCATGGGCTTGCCATTTGAATCCATCTGTAAACCTTTAATCTGTCCAAGTTCTGTTGAAACAATCACTTCAGTGAAACTAGTTGAACCGGCAAAGGAATACACTGAATACAACAAGATAGCAAATAAATTCCAAATTCGTTTATACATCTGTAAAATAGTTAATGTATAGTTTAAAATATCATAACCTTAAGAAACTAAGGGATATAAAATACATGATATAATTATGTAGTAGGACTAACAAAAAAAACGTTGATTGTTATAAGGCAAATATCTTGCAATCTGATTGGTTAATTACCCGAGTATATATAACAACCACCCCTGCTAAAATATTCACGACCGTGCAAGGGCTGTATAGCCAGTCAAGGTCGTTAAAAACTTCCATCGTCAAAATATTCACATGGCCGACCGTGCAAGACCCTCATGGGTAGTCAAGGTCGTTAACCCCCCTTTCAGAGTCATACATCCAGGTATAAAAATGAGTAAAAAAAAACCATGGAAACGCATCTTAAGAAATAAATTAGTCATCTTGTTGTTATCAGGGTGCATCATGAAATTTTGAAGGGATTTATTAAATCATTTTAATCTGCCATCAATTATTTCACAAAAGAATCTGATGAGAATCATGACTTGGGACATGTCCATATAGAATGTGGCGGTGTTAAACATGTTAGCGGGCGCCCAACCTTCACCCTAACATGGGACAGTGGTGTAACAGTACAACATATGAACAAACTATAAAAATCAGTTGAAAACGTGCATATTTATGGAAAAAAAGTAATTATTTATCTTTGTATGAGAAAAGGAAAAATGAAAATTTGACCAATCACAATCAACTATTGGCGCTGGTTGCCAACGAACGAAAGTTAGACATCAACTGATGACAGCAGCTTAAAAAGATTATCAAATCTCGAAACTATGCCACATATTTCAGCCGATAATTTCAGAAAAAAAACTGTTTGAAATCAATAACATTTTTTATCAACCTTGTCAACTTAATAAAATGATATCTTTCATGTTTATTTGACTTGCGACCCTTTTGTTTTTGCATTTGTACATTTGTATTTTTTCTTTTCTGTTGCTGTTGATTTTTTATACGCCCGTTTACGGGACGTATTATGGTATATCGTTGTCCGTCTGTCCGTCTGTCCGTCTGTCCGTCTTTCTGTCTGTCTGTCTGTACGTCCGTCCGTCGTCAACATGTCGGACAATAACTCAAAAACGCTTTAACCAATTTGCATGAAACTTTGTTGAATTGTTTATATCTATTGACGTGAGCTCCCTTCGATTTTTATAAATTTTGGATTTTACGTTTTCAGAGTTATGGGATTTTATTCATTAAAAAAGGGGCATTTTCCAGATTTCGGACAATTACTCAAAAATGCTTTGAACAGTTTTCATGAAACTTTGGTGACTGATTTAAATCTATTGAAAAAGCGACGGGCGTATCATGCGCTCATGGCGCAGCTGTTTATTCTTTTTTTCTCGTTTTGATTCTGTTTGTATTTATTACTGACTGTCATATTTTTTAGACACCGACCATTACCATATCTTTTTTGTAGGTCAGGGTTTTTTTTTATAAATAAATTATTTCAAAAGGGAAGTGGAAGAAAACAGTTCGTTTCTGTTGAAAATTAGTAAAATAAAAACAGTGTTGCTTTAGGAATAAATTCCTTACGTATCACACCAACCACAATCAAGACGATCTATTGTTATAATTGTTTTTAAAAAAATAAGTCAAATACTCTAACGGGTAAACCTTTTTGTTAAAATACTACTTGACTGAACAGACATAACTATGACATAAAGACAGTATTTCCATATTGAAAGTTTCGTGTGACAATGAACAGACTGGCGTACTCGAAAACATAGTTGTGGAAAATAGATAAATTTCAAGAATTAATAGCACACTAAAGACTACGTGGAACACTCTTCTTATTGGTATATGAAGAGAGCTTTAAAAATTAATTACATTTTGTATGTTGATAGAATAGAGAATGGAAACGGAGGATGTGTCAAAGAGACAACAATCCGACCAAAGTGCAGAAAACAGCCCAATGTCACCAAATGGCTCTTCAACGCAGCGAGAAAAATCCCGCACCCGGAGGCGAGATTCAGCTGGCCCCTAAGCAATAATGTACACTAGTTCAGCGAAATAGACTCCACACTAAACTCCGCAACATACAAATGAACCGAAATTTAATAACAAAATACAAAAGACTTAACAATTTAAAGGCTAGAGGTTCCTGACTTTGGACAAGCGCAAAACATGCGGTGGGGTTAAACGTGTTTTGTGATATCTCAACCCTCTACCTCTAGCCAATGTGGAATAAACAAACACACAGCAAAACGCACAGTAAAACTCAGTCAGTTAAAAGAAGTCTGAGTCCGATGTTAGAAAAGGTGACAGAAGAAACTATGCATAATGACAATGATCAGCACAAATTAACAAAGGACTACAAGCAGTTACTAGCTTCAAACCTCAATTAAACTGTTCGAAAAATTATGTCTTCATCGAATAAAAATCAATCACAATCCCTCCCGGTTAGGAGTTTAGTATCATGCCATCATAAATCATACGAGAAGAACACAACCCGTATATCATGCCAACAACTGGTTTTAAAATAAATGTGTTCATATCAGATGCAAAGACACAATTAATTTAAAAAAAAACCATCTTTAATGACATGACAACAGCACCGTAACTTTATCTCTTGTAAATAAGTCTGTTTAAAGGTTTAGTTAGCTTTTGAGGTGAATGACGAGATTTGAATGCTTTGATTTAACCCCTTTTTTCATCAATATGAAACAAATATAAAATGTTCTATATATATTAGTGTAACAAGCTTTTTATGCCGACATAACCCGAATAATTCATTCGTTATATTCCGCTGATCGATCTATACGATTACTTCAGTAGGGGCACGGTAGTATTTCCTGGCCCATTATAAGGGATAATGATAGCCTTTTTAGAATTTTCACCACTTTCTAACACTCCCAAAAATTCTACATAAACAGTTAACTGAAGTACTTTCCTTATACTATTCAGAAATGAATTTGAATATGTATCATGACCGTTTACTTTTTTTGATATCTTTAAAAACCTAAGGCCACTAGTGCTTTTAGGTCTTTTATCATGCAGTGAATACAAAATTAAAAAAAAATCTCAAAAATTCATTTTCACCTGTATGTAAAATTATTTCATATTTTTCTACACCTGATTCATCCCTCAGTTTGGGAAAGTATGTTCAGTTGATACTGTATTGTTTGTCCAATCGCACTGATCAGATACATTGACTTAAGTAGGGTACACAAAAGAGCAACCTAAGTTCTCGGGAATGCAAATACTACCGTGCTACCATTACAAGTAAGTAGGAGAGATCGATTACGGGGAGGGACTGAACTATTCGGGTTAATGCCGGCAATTGACACTAGTAATAAGAACTGTGCAATATGCTTTTGCGTGTATATTTCAAACACCATATTTTAACAGATAATCTTTCAAAAATATATGATCATTGTGGTTTCGAAATAATTTTTAATCAGTATACAAACTACAAATTTTGATTTAGATAATATGTCCAATCTACATCTCGGCCTCTACAAGATTCAAGATTTTTTTCTACGAAAAGGTATTAGTCGCAGATATCTTAATCAGGTCAAGCTTTTTGACTTTCTTTGATTTCTTATATAAGAATATTTAATTGAATACCAAAATAAGGTGTTATATGTGAACCTATGCATTTGCCTTTGACGAAAAAACATTCATATTTTATCCGATTTATACAGTATTATGTAAATTGTTTTTTATAGTAGGTAATGTTGAAACAAATCCTGTATAATAACCATACAATGATTTCAATGACTTCGTATAACAGGATTCATTTCTGAATACTTTTAATTGTACACTTTTATTAACCCATGTGAGATGAATATATATTATGATATATTTCATACAAATGTATTTACTATTCACTAAGTTTTCAACTATAAAATTTTGACCAATCTGCTAATTTGTGCTGTAAACCAGACACCTTGCATTTTGATATCTATAGTTATGTATATTAATCCGACAGCAATTAGGGGATACAACCAATTAAATACGAAGAAAATACCCTAGACCTACCAATTATTCAAACTTCAGCCTAAATTAATTTGACCTTTAGTATCAGAAAAAAAACTATTTGACCTTGAAATTTTATTATTCGATTGTATTTATCCATTGTGGTTGTGTAATGACACCATTGAGAATGAAAATCCTCTCTCTCCTTCCATAATCCCTATCACCAATTAGACATATACTCTGAATGAAAAGCACCATGTGTAGATAAGTGATGTATACATTATTGAAATGACCCTAATACTTACTAAATTTTCAAACAAACATAATCGCTAACCTTCACTCATGTATTAGAATTTAAGAATTGAATGCTTCTTTTTGTAAATCTATTTGTGGGTGTGAAAGTGTGACCGAAGGCACATTTAGTGTGAAGAGGGTGAATATTTTTTGGTTGTCAAGGTCAAGGCTACTAATAAAATACAAGTCATTTTACATTCCAAATTACATATATATACTTTTACATGTAAACAACAGATGATGGAATATACGAGTATCGACATCGGAAAAGAAATCCCGATTTTAGACTCGCATTATGTTGTGAATCTTTGGCTTGGAAGTGTTTTCAGGAACTCTGTGTCAAGATCTAATACAATCCCTTTTTACAGTATAGTCATATAGTTAGTTGTTAAAGAAACATTTGCATGCCAAATTTCACCACTTTATGATTCATCGCTATATATCAGAACACAACCGCTCCTTACGTACTTTGTTTTTTCTTGTGGCCAATACCAATTTAACAAATTGTTTTCCTTTCTTCATCGAAATTGCACATGAACCTACTTAAAAAGAAAATAAAAAAATGCTTGATCCTGCAGAATTGTCATCCTGTTCATTCAAGCAACATTTGAAACAAAAACATGTCGTGTAATATCGTTTATGTTGGCGTTCCACCCAACTTAAAAGTGATAAAAAGTCAAAGCTATAAAACAAAGCTGTGATATTAAAGATCTTTCAAATATGGCCCTAGTGTGAAACTTTTTGTGAAATAACGTCCGTCCGTCCGTCGTCAACATGTCGGACAATA